TTCTAGTTGGTTCCTACTGCCTGGAAGGCAGCCTTTCAAGAACCAAAGGCCGGGGCAGGTGCCTCTTAGGCTCCTAAAGTCCCCCGTCTTCCTCATTCCAGGTCTGACCTTCTGGGTAGTAGTTATCTAATTAGGTGTTTATCTCCTTCCATTGGGGCACCTTCAATACAGGCGCAGGGTGTGTCTCCTTCACTGCAGAAAGCAAAAAGCCCGACAGCACATGGCCTGACACCTAGGAGATCAATAAACATTTGTCCTCGTTGGGAGGGGTCCTGGCCCTCGTGCCCTCTCTCAGTATGCAAACTGATCCCCAACGAAGACAAGGCTACCCACTTCACGTTAGTCCGCAGTTTCTGCGCGCATGCGCTTTGCTCTGTTGCCCCCGCCATATGCTAATCACTGCGCTCTGGAGTAAGGCCCCTCTGGGGAATATGCAAATCACTCCTTCCAGTGCGGGAGGCCTTTCATTGTCCCGCACTAGGATTATGCAAATAAGCAGGCCTCGGGCCCAGGATCCAGTCCGAACTAGCAGCCTCCACCCCCAGCGCATCCCGTATTTTATGAGGCGCGTTCCTGCCCCGCACACGCACGCGCGAACCCTTCAGCAGCTTCTTTCTTCTTCCTTCGGGCCGCGGACTGTACCAAGTAAACCCAGGCAGTGAGGGACAAAGCACAGCGCCCCCCGCGCGGGTCACGTCGACGGCCAGAATCACATAGCCCCTCTTCCAACAGCATTACAGGACTAGTCCAACTCGCCGCGCAAGCGCCCTAGGCTCTTCACGCGCTCTCCTACCCTACTTGCAGCGCAGGCGCAGAGGGTGGGCGTGCAGCCGCCGCCGCAGAGCCGGAGCGGGGGCCGCCGGCGCCGGTGAGTGTCCGGGGCAGGGGTGCGCGGGGCATGCCGGGAAGCGGGCGCTACAGCCCCGCTGCATGATGGGAACGACAACTCCCGTCACCGGGGAGCCGGCGGCGGTCTGGGACCGTCTTGACCCGAGGGCAAGACCCAGGCTTCCTTTTCTCCCGCAGCGCGGCTGTGCCGCCCTGGGGCATCCTGGGAGAACCGAGCGCTCCGCCTTGAAGCGCTGTGGGAGTCGGTCCGCTAGTCGTTGTAGGCCTGGTGCATCCTGGGAAGAAGTGTCCCAGATCATTGTGGGGATCATTTCTTTTATCCCACACCTGCCGCTGACCGTCCTGGAGGCTTGGAGCGCTTCCACACGGGGAGTCTGGGAAGGTGGTCGCTACAGGCCCAAGGCATCTTGGGAAGAACTGCCACAGGAATTGTGGGAACTGGCCCTTATTGTCCCGTAGTGGAAGGTTTTGCCCTGGTCTCATTGCCCGAGCATTGGAACGGGTGCCTATTGTTTTTACGCGGGGCATCTTGGGAATTGGCTGCTACAGGCTCAGGGCATTGTGGGGTCTCCAGCACTGTTTGCCTTTCAGTTTGGCTCCCCTAGGCGTGGTAGGAGTGGGACTTGTGAACCAAGGGATGGCCCTACCTGACATCTGGAATAATCTGGAAGAGGTCTTGTGTGATATGGGCTTGAAAAAGTGTAGGCTGATGGACACTGACTCCTGGTAACTTCATGGGAGGACTTGATTGTCACAGGCGTATGGTTGCCGGATAAAATATACAGTGCCTAGTTAAATTTGAATTTCAGATAAACAATTATATCCAAAAGATACAGCCTTTTAGAAAAGTAGCTCCCAAGTATCACATGGAACATAGCTATGGCCCGATATCGGCTCGCTCACTGCAACCTCTGCCTCCCGGGTTCAAGCAGTTCTCCCGCCTCAGCTTCCCAAGTAGCTGGGACTACAGGCACGCGCCACCACACTCGGCTAATTTTTTGTATTTTTTTTTTTTTTAGTAGAGGTGGGGTTTCATCATGTTGGTCAGGCTGGTCTCGATCTTCTTACCTCGTGATCCACCCACCTCGGCCTCCCAAAGTGCTGGACTTGCGTGTGCCACCGCGCCCGGCTATGGAAGCCCCTGTGTTATAGAGAAGGAAACAGGCTAGAGAAGTTTAGTTATTTGCTTGGTGCTACACAGCTAGAGATACTAGCTTGCCAATTTATACAGAACTAAGGATGATGGTCACAGACCCGTGCAGCCGTACCAGTTGTTTAAATATTAAAATATTTCCAGATTGGTTGGTGTATCACTGTTATACAAATACTCCCTTTCCCTAACTGCCACTGTGGAGGCTTGCTGTGGTATTATATGTATAAATATATTGGTTTTCATCCACAGTTCCTGGCTCAACTCCCATAGCTTTTGTTACAGTCTCTTATTATAATGTTGTGTACCTTAGGCCTCAGGGGCAGGTCTCAAGAAACAGAATCTCTCTGACCTCCTCCTGCCCTCCTCTTCCTGTCCCAGGGCAGGACTCTTATCTTCCCCACCTTCCTGACTGTGGGTCCTAAGAGCTTTTCAGGGAAGGCCATGCATAATGCTGCTGTCTTAAAGCCTCCTTAAAAACCCAAGAGGAGGGCCAGGTGCTGTGTCTCACGCCTGTAATCCTGGCACTTTGGGAGACCAAGGCAGGCGGATCATGAGGTCAACAGATGAGACCATCTAGCCAACATGGGTAAAACCCGGTCTCTACTAAAAACACAAAAATTCACTGTGGTGGCACACACCTGTACTCCCAGCTACTCGGGAGTCTGAGGCAAGAGAATCATTTGAACCCAGGAAGTGGAGGTTGCAGTGAGCTGAGATCACGCCACTGCACTCCAGCCTTGCAACAGAACTAGACTCCATCTCAAAAAAAAAAAAACCAAAACCCCAAGAGGACTGGGTTTGGAGAGCTTCCTCATAGCTGACCACATGGAGGTTCCTGTAGGGTGGCACCCTAGGGACAGCGGGAAGCTCCCTGCCCCTTCTGTTATACCTTGCTTTACCTGTCTCTTGATCTTTGTTCTTTGTAATACTCTCTAATAAGCTAGTATATCTAAGTAAGCATTTCCTTGAGTTCTCTGAGCAGCCCCAGCAAGTTTTTTTTTGTAAGAGGGGTCATCCAGGCTTGAATGCAGTGGTATGGTCCCAGCTCACTGCAGCCTTAGCCTCCCAGGCTCAAGTGATCCTCCCACCTCACCCTCCCAAGTAACTGGGACTATAAACACATACTACCACACCCAGCTAATTTTTTAGAATTTTTTTTTTTTTTTTTTTTTTTTGGTAGAAACAGGGCTTGCCATGTTGCCCAGACTAGTCTTGAACTCCTGAACTCAGTTGATCCTCCTGCCTTAGCCTCCCAAGGTGCTGGAATTACTGATAGAAGTGACCTGGCCCGAGCTAACATTTTTATTTATTTATTTATTTAAAATGCTGAGTGTGGTGGCTCACGCCTGTAATCATAGCACTTTGGAAGCTGAAGCAGGCGGATCCCTTGAGCTCTGGGCAACATGGTGAAATGTCGTCTCTACCAAAATTACAAAAATTAGCTGGGCTTGGGGACAGGTACCTGTAATCCCAGCTACTCGGGAAGCTGAGGCAGGAGGATCACTTGAGCTCAGGAGGTGGAGGATGCAGTGAGCTGAGATCATGCCAATTACACCACTGCACTTCAGCATGGGCGACAGAATGAGACTGTCTTAAAAAAAAAAAAGAAAGAAAGAAAAGAAACTCATGCTGTTATTGTTGTTGTTCTTTGAGAGAGGGCCTCACTCTGTCACCCAGGCTGGTGTGTAGTGGCACAGTCTCAGCTGACTGCAACCTCCACAGCCTCTCCAACCCCAGCCAGGCTCACACAGTCCTCCCACCTCAGCCTCCTGGAGTAGCTGGGACTACAGGTACACACTACTGGGCCCAGCTATTTCTTTGTATTGTTAGTAGAGACCATATTGCCCAGGCTGGTCTCGAACTCCTGAGCTCAAGCGATACACTTGCCTCAGCCTCCTAAAATGCTAGGATTACAGGTGTGAGCCACCAAGCCCAGCTCCAGCTAATATTTTTAAACATTTTTCATAGAGACAGGGTCTCACTTTGTTGCCCAGGCTGGTCTTGAACTGGTTTCAAGTGATCCTACCTCAGGTGCTTGGATTACAGGTGTGAGCCACCACATTGGGTCTGTTCCAGCACATTTTGAACCGAGAGGGTCATGGAACTCCAAATTGAAGCCAGTTGGTTAGATGTTCTGGAGGCCTGAACTTGTGAGTGGTATCTGGGGTTGAGGGGCAGCGCTGGGGACTGAGCCCTCAATCTGTGGCATCTGACACTCCAGGATAGCATTGGAATTGAATTGGAGGGGACACCTAGCTGGTGTCTGCTGTGTAGTGTTTGGGGGAAAAGCCCCACACATTTGGTCACAGAATTCTTCTGTGTTGATGATTGTCGTGGTGGTAGGATGAGAGTAGAGGAAAAACACAGTTTGAGAGTTTTCCCAAAACACTCCCCCAAACCCAGACCTCCCCATGGCCCAGCAGCTAAAGGATTAATGCCTGGCATCCGGCCCTGCTCCACTCTCAGTTCTGATTGGTGCCCACACCAGTCCCCACTGTTGAATATTTTATGTGTCACCTCTCCCTACCCCACTGAGTAAGAACCAGAAGGCAGCCTTGTTGCTCACATGGTAAAATGAAGACCTAAAGAGTGGGGCTGGGTGTGGTGGCTCATGCTTGTAATCCCAGCATTTTGGAAGGCTGAGGCTTATGGATCACTTGAGGTGAGGAGTTCAAGACCAGCCTGGTCAACATGGTGAAACCCTGACTCTACTAAAAATACAAAATTAGCCAGGTGTGGGGGCACGAGCCTGTAGTTCCAGCTACTCAGGAAGCTGAGGTAGGAGAATTGCTTCAGCCTGGGTGGTAGAGGTTGCAGTGAGCTGAGATCGTGCCACTGCAGCCTGGGTGACAGAGCAGGACTCCATCTCAAAAAAAGAAAAAAAAAAAAAAAAAGACTTAGGGACAGGGCTTGTAGTCAAGGCCCTGTACACAGTCAGGGACAGAGCTGGGGTCCTCTGTGCCCCACCCCAGCAATGAGCACACAGTTGGGCTTGGGGTGGGGACGAGTGCTATGTAAAAATTTATTGAATCATCACCGGCCTTTCCTTTCCCCCTATCCAGCATCCCTCACTACCTGTCAACATCCTGTGTTAGAGAACTTGTGGCCAGAGGTGTTGTGTGGAGAGCTGGCCGGGGAGGGACGCTGCTCAGCTGCTGCTCTGCTCCAGTCTCCTGTCCCCTCCCCCGGCCATGACAGAGACCCGTGAGCCAGCTGAGACTGGGGGCTATGCCAGCTTGGAAGAAGATGATGAAGACCTTTCCCCAGGTAAGGTGACCTTAGAGGTGGTGGCGTTGGCTTGACTGTTATCCCAGCTTAGGATTTGGCCTCCGCTGGGAAGTGTTGATGGGGAGCGGCACCTTGTCTTGCTAGGGGTTCTATTCTGACTGGGACTCCTTGTCCTGCTAGGGGATCTCTTCCAGTCCCGACTTCCTGGGACTGTAGATTGACTGGGATCTCTCTCCTTGCTGGAGGTTCTAGATTGGCTATGATTTTCTTCTTTGCTAGGGGTTCTAGATCGGCCGTGAGCTTTCTCCTTGCTGTAGGCTCGTCTGTAACTACTCTTCTTATTGGGGCTTCTAGAATGTCTGTGCTCTCTCTCCTTGCTGGGGCTTCCAGATCCGCCGCGGTCTCTCTCCTGGCTGGGGCTTCCAGATCGTCCGCGCTCTCTCTCCTTGCTGGGGCTTCCAGATCGGCCATGGTCTCTCTCCTGGCTGGGGCTTCTAGAACATCCGCGCGCTCTCTCCTGACTGGGGCTTCTAGAATGTCTGCGCTCGCTCTCCTTGCTGGGGCTTCCAGATCGGCCGCGGTCTCTCTCCTGGCTGGGGCTTCTAGAACGTCCGCGCGCTCTCTCCTGGCTGGGGCTTCTAGAACGTCCGCGCGCTCTCTCCTGGCTGGGGCTTCTAGAACGTCCGCGCGCTCTCTCCTGGCTGGGGCTTCTAGAACGTCCGCGCGCTCTCTCCTGGCTGGGGCTTCTAGAACGTCCGCGCGCTCTCTCCTGGCTGGGGCTTCTAGAACGTCCGCGCGCTCTCTCCTGGCTGGGGCTTCTAGAACGTCCGCGCACTCTCTCCTGGCTGGGGCTTCCAGATCGGCCGCGCTCTCTCTCCTTGCTGGGGCTTCTAGATTGCCTGTACTCTCTTTCCTTGCTGGGACTTCCAGAACGGCTGAGATCTTTCTCCTTGCTGGGAATTCTAGATTGGCTGTGGTCTCTCTCCTTGTTGGGGCTTCCAGATTGACTGTGATCCTTCTTCTCGCTGGGACTTCTAGATCGGCTGCAATCTCTCTGCTTGTTGGGACTTTCAGATTGACTGCGATCTCTGTCCTTACCGGGGCTGCTAGATCCTCTGCGGTCTCTCTTTTTGCTGGAGCTTCTAGACGGGCTATGACTTCTTTCCTTGCTGGGGGTTCTAGACCAGTTGTGACTTCTTCCTCTTCTGGGGGTTCTAGACTGGTTTTGACTTTTCGCCTTGCTGTGGGTTCTAGACTGGCTGTGTCCTCCCTTCTGGCTCAGAATTCCCTTCCGGGTGCGACTTCTTGCCCTGCTACGATTTCTCTTCCAACTGTGACTTCTCACCCTGCTGTAGGTCCTCTTCTGACTGCGACTTCTTGACCTTCTGGGGCTTCTAGATTGGCTGTGACTTCGGGGCCTGCAGGGGGTGCTGGCCTGGTTATCATTCTTGACCCTGCTGAACACTTTAGTCGGGCTGTAACTCTTTTCCCCGCTGCGGGTGATCATCTGACTGTAGCACTTCGCCTTCCTTGATGACGACAGACACGGGCTCTCACTCTTCTTCTTGGACGGAATTCGAGTTGGGCTGTGACTCTTGGCTCTACTGGGAGTTACAGCCAGCTTGGAGCTCCTCCCCCTACCTGAGCTTCCTGGTGGGCTGTAACTCTTCTCCTTGCTTATATTTCTAGCCTGGCTGTCACTACTTTCCCTGTTGCTGGTTCTAGAACGGCCGTAACTCTTCCCCCGCCTCTGTTTTTGCTGGAAAGTGGGAGTTCTCACCTTGCTGGCCATGCCTGGTCTGGCACCATGAGTTCTTCTGGCAGGAGTGCTGGCCCTGCTGGGTGACCTCTTGGAGCTCCGGCTTCCCCTTCTGCCAGGTGTCCTACCCCGGCTATGCGTGCCCCTCCGCTGATGGCATCTCACGCTGCTGGCCTTGCTGGCTTTGCTGGTGCTGGTGTCCTTGCTTACCCTGCTGGGTGTTCTTGCCTTGCTGTGGACTTGGGACCTGCTGCTGGACTGGTTAGAAGGGACTCTCTTTGTACTGGTTGATTTGGTGGACTTTGAACTGCTTGGGCTCATGACCAATGTCGCTGGCTTGGTGGGCACTGAGGATCTGTTGGGTGTTGCTGATTTGGTGTTCTTCAGAGAAGCAGGAGGCGTGGGATCCGCAGTGGGTATGGAGGATCCAGTGCGTGCCAGGGGCATGCTGGGTTTTGAAGATCTCTTAGGTGAAGACATGGTGGATGTGAAAGGGCTTGTGGTCCTTGAAACACCTGGTAGCCATGGACAGTGACCTGATTGCCTGTCACAGGCCAACTGTGATGTCACAGTGGGCATTGAAGACCCTGGAGGGTGAGTGGTATGAAGTCAGAGGTGGGAGGAGAGAGGACTAGGGTCCCAGCCTGAGGCCAGAGATACTTCCTCTGGTTTGCAGCCATTCAGCAAATGTCTTTTGAGTCTGACTCATGCTTAGCATTGCTGGGGACATAGAGATGGGACAGACCTAGGTCCTGCCTTCAAGGAGCCCACAGTCAACGGGTGGGGATGGGGTTGCTGCCCAGGTGGTCAGGGTGTGATAGAGAGCAATGCAGTGGCCGGGGAGCCCATGCAAGAGAGATACCAACGGCCTGGGGAGTCAGCGAGGCCTTCACAGAGGAAGTAATATTAGCTGGGTTTGAAAAGTTGCAGGAGTTTTGCCAGTAGAGAAGGAAAGGGTCAGGCCGAGTGTGGTGGCTCACACCTGTAATCCCAGCACTTTGGGAGGCAGAGGCAGGCAGATCATCTGAGGTCAGGAGTTCAAGACCAGCCTGGCCAACATGGTAAAACCCTATCTCTACCAAAACTATAAAAATTAGCCAGATGTGGCGGCGTATGCTTGTAATCCCAGCTACTTGGGAGGCTGAGGTGGGAGGATCACTCGAACCCTGGAAGTGGAGGTTGCAGTGAGCCAAGATCACACCACTGCACACCAAGCCTGGGTGACAGCAAGACTGTCTCAAAAAAAAAAAAAAAAAATGCTCCTCACCCAGGCAGGTGAGGAGCAGAGGCTAAGGCCTTGGGGAGGGAGATCAGGGTCTTAGGGCCACTGTCATCCGCTGACCCGCATGTCCTCTTATGGGGACCCCAAGATCATACCTGCCCTTGAGGAGTTCCCAGTCTGATAAGGGAGACACCCTGGGGCCCAGCAGACTACAGTTAGTTTCTAGGACAGTGACAGGGGAAAGTACAGGGAGACCTGGCTGGAGGCTGGGGCATCAGGGTGGTGGCTTCCTAGAGGACGGAGTTTGTGCTGGGTCTTGAAGGATGAGTAGGGGGTCAGCAGGTGGACAGTGGGGAACAACCCACGCCAAGGCCTCAGGAAACAATTCTTAAATGGTAGGAACTAGTAGGAGAGAACTGCAGGGACGGATGTTCAGAAGGAGACCGTTATAACGCGTTCCGGGCTGGTGACGCTCAGGACCCAGCAGGAGGGTGGTAGAAAAAGTGACTGGCTGCCTGGAATGAGGAGGCCTGGGACAGCCTCACCAAAGAGGAAGGCCTCCCACTGGGTTCTAAAGGATGGTGGGAAAAACTAGGTCAGGACATTCCCACCAGAGGGAACAGTGTGTGTGAGGCCTCTGAAGAGGTTTGTCAAATTCCACCCAGAGATACCCATGCCACAAATAGGTCCTAAGTGCTTTCTTTGCAAGCAAGTGTTCTAGATGCTGGGGCCACAGCAGTGAACCAAACCAAGTCCCTGCTTTCTGGGACAGGCAGTAAACACACAAGTAAATGTTGTATGCAGTGAGTCAGAAGATGGAGAAAAATTGGCCGGGTGCGGTGGCTCACACCTGTAATCCCAGCAGTTTGAAAGGCTGAGATGGGTGGATCACATGAGGTCAGGAGTTTGAGACCAGCCTGACCAATGTGGTGAAACCCCATCTCTACTAGAAATACAAAAATTAGAGGCCAGGCGTGGAGGTTCACACCTGTAATCCCAGCACCTTGGGAGGCTGAGGCGAGTGGATCACGAGGTGGAGAGATCAAGACCATCCTGGCCAACATGGTGAAACCCCGTCTCGACTAAAAATACAAAAATTGGCTGGGTGTGGTGGTATGTGCCTGTAATCCCAGCTACTTGGGAGGCTGAGGCAGGAGAATCGCTTGAACCCAGGAGGTGGAGGTTGCGGTGATCTGAGATTGCATCACTACACTCTAGCCTGGGTGACAGAGCAAGACTCTTGTCTCAAAACACAAAAAAAGAAAAGAAAGAAAGAAATACAAATATTAGCTGGGCATGTTGGTGCACGCCTATAATCCCAGCTACTTGGGAGGCTAAGGCAAAACTGCCTGAACCCAGGAGGCAGAGTTTTCAGTGAGCTGAGATCATGCCACTGCACTCCAGCCTGGGTGACTGAGTGAGACTCCGTCTCAAAAGAAGATGGAGAACAATCAAGCACAGTAAGGGACAGAGGGAATGCTGGGGAGTGGTTTCTGTGGCCAGGGTGTCACTGAGAAGGTGACACTTGAACAGAGACATGGAGCGGAGAGTGACATTTAGCAGAGAAAGGGCGGCAAAGACCCTGAGGCAGGTGCGGGTCTGGGGTGTCAGGAAAGGTGAGAAACCTTGTGGCCACTGTGATGACAGGAGCAAGGGTGGAGCACAGGCTGCAGTAGCAGGATCCTCTGCGCTCTGGGAGAAACTGAGGAATGGGGCTGGGATGGATACAAGGCAAGGCTTTTGGCAGGCTCCTGCCACAGAGGCCGAAGAATCTGGTACTTTCCACACTAGTCACAGAACCCTGTCCCCAACCATTACTCTGTGTGTGCGCCCCCATAACAGCAGCCGATGTCACCCTCTTCTGTACATCAACTTTAAATTTTTCCCCTTTGGTTTTTTTTTGGAGACAGTCTTGCTCTGTCGCCAGGCTGGAATGCAGTAGCTCGATACTGGCTCAATGCAACCTCCGCCATCCGGGTTCAAGCAATTCTCCTGTCTCAGTCTCCCGAGTAGCTGAGACTACAGGTGCCTGCCACCGCGCCTGGCTAATTTCTGTGTTTTTAGTAGAGACGGGGTTTCACCACGTTGCCCAGGGTGGTCATGACTCCTGAGCTCAGGTGATCCGCCTGCCTCAGCCTCCTAAAGTGCTGGGATTACAGGCCCTTTTCTTTAAACCTAAACTTGTCCTAAGCATGTCCTTGATAACTGTGAAACATAACAGTTACCTATAAATAAATATTTTAACTCACCTAACTCTGTATCTTCATGGCCGCATATATAAAAGTACATCTGTGTGTGTTTTAATTTGCAGAAATACCTTTTCAAATGTTTCTCCCTAAAATGATCTAGCGGTGTCTGCCATGGCCCAAGCTCAGCTTTTCCTGCCAGAGCTGTGTTAACCACAGGCGAGTCAGCTAGCCTCCCTGTGCCTTGGTTTCCACATTCATCAATTGGGGATAGTAACAGTACCACCCCCAAAGGGTTGTTGAGGGTTTAGTGAGTTAACGTGTAAGAATGGGGTGCCTACAATAGCAAGGGTGCTTTTGTTATTGCCGGTTTTTCACTACTCCTGCTTTGTCCTTCCTAAATGCCCCCATCCCACTTCCTTATGGAGGTTTTTATTTCTTTTTCAATCAATACAATTTTTTTTTTCTTTTTTATACCCCCTGCCCCAAGACAGAGTGTTGCTTTGTCACCCATGCTGGAGTGCAATGGCGCGATCTCAGCTCACTGCAACCCCCACCTCCTGGGTTAAAGCAATTCTCCTGCCTCAGCCTCCCGAGTAGCTGGGGTTACAGATGCCCACCACCACACCTGGCTAATTTTTGTATTTTTATTAGAGACAAGGTTTCACCATGTTGGCCAGGCTGGTGTCGAACTCTTGACCTCATGATCTGCCTTACCTCGGCCTCCCAAAGTGCTGGGATTACAGGCATGAGCCACCATGCCTGGCCAAAAAAATTCTTTTTTAAGAGGTGAGGTCTCACTATGTCATCCAGGCTGGAGTGCACTGGCACAGTCATGGCTCAATGCAACCTCGAACTCCTGGGCTAAAGTGATTGTCCTGCCTCAGCCTCCCGAGAAGCTGGTACTACAGGAAGTGTGTCACCAGGCCTGGCTGATTTTTAGATTTTTTATAGAGACAGAGTCTTGCTGTATTGCCCAGGCTGGTCTCAAACTCCTGGCCTCAAGCAATCTTCCCAACTTGGCCACCCAAAAGTGCTGGGATTACAGGCATGAGCCACTGCGCCCAGTCCTGTCCCATGCAGTTCTTACAAGACATTCATTTGCTTGACACAAAGATAAGGGAATCTACTGGGTGCCAGCCTTGTTCTATGCCATCTGTGGCGAAGGGAAGGGTAGTGCCCAAGCTGTGGCAAGTCAGAATATGGGAGTCAGGGAGGAGACAGCTGGGTCTAGCCTCCTTTCCTCTGATGCCACTGTTTCTCCCTATCTGTGCCCTCCAGGCCCTGAGCATTCCTCTGATTCAGAATATACTCTCTCAGAGCCGGACTCTGAAGAGGAAGAAGATGAGGAGGAGGAGGAAGAGGAGACCACTGATGATCCCGAATATGATCCTGGCTACAAGGTGAAGCAGCGCCTTGGCGGGGGCCGTGGTGGCCCATCCCGCCGGGCCCCCCGTGCAGCCCAGCCCCTGGGCCCCCCGGCCCAGCCTTGCCAGCTCTGTGGCCGCTCACCCCTTGGGGAGGCCCCACCGGGAACCCCACCTTGCCGGCTCTGCTGCCCTGCTACAGCCCCCCAGGAAGCACCAGCCCCTGAAGGCAGGGCCCTTGGGGAGGAAGAGGAGGAACCACCTCGGGCTGGGGAGGGCCGACCACCTGGGCGGGAGGAGGAGGAGGAAGAGGAGGAGGAGGGAACCTACCACTGTACGGAATGCGAGGATTCCTTCGATAACCTGGGGGAGCTGCATGGGCACTTCATGCTGCATGCCCGGGGTGAGGTGTAGGCAGAGCCCCCACACAGGGAGCTTGGCAGAAGGGGTGGGGTGGGAGGAGGGGGCTGAGGAAATTGGGGTTGTGACAGTGGTCATGGGGGATGGGGTACTGCCGGTCTGTGTTGTCTTAGAAGTAGATGTGTGATGGCCAGAATAAAAGCCAAAATTCTGTGTGTTGGTTCAGTGTGTGTGTGTTGGTTCAGGGTGTGTGTGTGTGTGTGTGTGTGTGTGTTCATGTTCCCCCTGGGCTCCTTCTCAGGGAACCTCAGGGTCTTTTGGGAAAGATAACATTTACTACGTGCTTGTATTTGATGAGGTTTCCATGTATTTACTCACAGACCCCATAATGTAAAGGCTCTAACAATAGAATTTTGTTTCTCACTCACATAATAGTGCTGGGTGAGTCATTTGGGGACCCAGGCCATCCCTTAAGCCTGTTGTCTCCCCCATGGTCCAGACTAGGTGGCCATGTCCTGGGTCCTGCTCGCAGAAGAGGACAGGGAGCCTGGTGAGGTGCACGTGTTGTCTTACGAGTCCTGGCCTGCCAGGGGCACACACTGCTTCCATTGATACGCCTTTGCTGAGAAATTAGATACGTGGTCACAGCTAACTGCAAAAAAAACCCTGGGAGAAGCAGTCTAGCCAAGCGCTCAGAAAGCAGAAAACGGTTCATGGAGGACAGCGAGGGCTTTCTGCCACATCGCCTAGGAACTTCCACAAAGAGGACTTTAATTATAATCACAGCTACGCTTCCTCAGCGCTTCCTGGGTGTCTGGTGCCAGTCCAAGGGCTTTATATATATTGACTCATAGAAATGGTGCATCTAGGAACTTACAAAAATAGAACCTTAATGATAATTACAGCTGCCATTTTCCCAGCACTTACAGAGTGCTGCACGTAATTTGCATGAGATTATCAGCTTCTCAGAATAACCCTGTGAGATAGGGATTGTGATCCATTAATTCATTTAACAAATATTTTTGAGTACCTGCTGTGTGCTAAGCATTGGGAATACACCAGTGAATGAAATAAAAATCCTTGTCCTCATGGAGCTTACATTGGAGTGGGGAGAGGCTTCTGGTAGACAGACATAAACAAGTAAGATACAGCATATGCTGGGTGCTGATAAATGCTGTGAGAACTGTAAAGAACTGACAGGAGGCCTGGCGTGGTGGTTCACTCCTGAAATCCCAGCACTGAGGTGGGCGGATCACTTGAGCCCAGGAGTTCCAGACCAGCCTGGGCAGCATGCCAAAACTCCATCTCTACAAAATACAAAAAATTAGCTGGGCTCATGATGGTGCATGGCTATAGTCCCAGCTACTAGGGAGGCTTAGGTGGGAGGACTACTTGAGCCTGAGAAGTTAAGGTTACAGTGAGCCGTGATACTGCCACTGCACTCCAGCCTGGGCAACTGTAAGACCCTGTCTCAAAAATAAAAAAGGACTGAAGGGAGGCCAGGCACAGTGGCTCATGCCTATAATTCCAGCACTTGGGGAGGCTGAGGTGGGAAGATTCTTGAGGCCAGGAGTTGAAGACCAGCCTGGGCAACATGGTGAGGCCCCATCTACAAAAAAATTAATTTAGCTGGGCATGGTGGTGCATGCCTACGGTCCCAGCTATTCAGGAAGCTGAAGTAGGAGGATTGCTTGAGCCTCGGAGGTTGAGGCTGCAGTGAGCTGTGATTGTGCCACTGTACTCAATGCACTCCAGCCTGGATGATGGCAAGAATTTGTCCCAACAAAAACTTTTTTAAAAGCACTGAAGGGAGATCTGTTCTGGAAGGTGGTTGCAATTTTAGAGTGTAGTCCTTCCTGGAAAGGTGACAGATCTGAAGGGGGTGGGGAGCCACATACATCAATGGGGAAGAGCACTCCAGGCTGGAGGAGGCAGGAGCCTGCCTGGCGTGTCAAGGAGGCCAGAGCTGTGGGGATGAGGTCAAAGAGTAGCAGAGGACCAGCTCCTTACAGCCTTGCCAAAACTTGGGCTTGGGCTGTGAGATGGGAAGTACTAATTCATAATTCACAGAAGCTTGGCACCAAAGCTGCTTGGAAAATAGAAGCCTAATTATAATAATAGCTATCATTTGCTGAGCATTTACTGGGCAACCAGCCCTGTTCTAAGGCGCTTTACATGTGTTGACTCATAGAAGCTTGGAAACTAAGAACCTTCAAGAATAGAACCTGAATTACTGTAATGGCCATCATTAAGTCAGCGCTCGTGCTGGACCAGGCCCTGAGCTCAGTGCTTTATGTGGACAATCACATCAGATCCTTACAAGTTAGGGACTGTTTTTGACTCATTCACCCAACAATGATTTATTGAGCACCTATGAGATGGCAGGCACTGCACTGGGAGTTGGGAATACAGCAGTGAACACGAACAAAACCTCCCTGCCTTCATGGAGGTTATAATGAGGAAGACAGTAATCTTGTATTTAAGTTAAATATACAAAATATATGGAATGTAAGATAGTCATAAGTGCTATGGAGAAAAAGGAACAGGGTAGGAAGCTCGTGTGTGTTTGAAGGTGGCAGTTTTAAGTAGGGTGGTCAGGGAAGGCTTCACTGAAGTGACACAGAGAAGAGACCTAGAGAGGGGCAGGAGTGAGCCTTGTGGCTGTCTGTGGGGACAGTAAGTGCAATGGCCTGAGGTGGGAGTCCACTTGGGGTGTTTGGGAAGAGGACACAGGGCCACTAGGCTGGAACTGAGAAAGGCATGGGAAGACAGGTAGAAGATGAGGTCAGAGAACACCAGAGAACCAGCCCATAGGGGCCATATACTGAGACTTTGGCATTCTCTCCAAGTCTGAATCCTCTTAATAACTGGAGTGCTCATAATAATCCTTAGAGGGTTTATTATGACCCTTTTATAACTGCTATGACAGGCCAGGCACAGTGATTCGATGCCTGTAATCCCAGCACTTCAGGAGGCCAAGGCAGGGGAATTACCTGACGTCGGAAGTTCAAGACCAGCCTGGCCAACATGGCAAAACCCCATCTCTACCAAAAATACAAAAACTTAGCTAGGTGTGGTGGCATGTACCTGTTGTCCCAGCTACTGGGGAGGTGAATCACTCATACCTGGGAGGCAGATTTTGCAGTGAGCCGAGATCACACCACTGTTCTCCATCCTGGGCGCTAGAGTGAAACTCTGTCCCAAAAAAAAAACCAGCTACAACAGAGGCACAGAGAGGTTGAGTTACCTGCTAGAGGCCACACAGCCAGTAAGCAGCAGAGCCCTGGTTTTTACCCAGACAAATGGATGCAGGCCCATCCACTCTTAGCTGCTAAGCCACACACTAGATATAACAGTCTAGCACCCACAGCCACCATTACGTTACATTACATTACATTATGTTATATCACATTACATTGCAGAGTGTATCTGGTCTCTACAAAGCTATTGAGTTTTTTAAACACTGGTCACCATTGTTGAAAAATGGGTAATTTCACATTTAAAAAATGGAAGTTTCTGGACTCTTGAAAATTGTGAGATCTGTTTCGCTGAACCCCCATCCCATTGGGGCAGAAGTTTGTTGGCGCTGAGTAGGAGTCACTTTCTGTAGGGGAGGCATTCACTCTTATGTGCCCAGTTGCCACTGTCTCACATCTGTACACCCCATATCCTGCCTGCTTGGCCCAGAAAAGCATTTGCTTTTTTATTTTTTTTAATGTTATTTGTTTTTAGATGCCATCTCGCTCTGTCACCCAGACTTTAGTGCAGTGGTGTGATCTCGGCTCACCTCAGCCTCCGCCTCCCAAGTTCAAACAATTCTTGTGTCTCAGCCTCCTGAGTAGCTGGGACCATGGCACGTGCCACCACCCCCGCTAAATTTTGTTTTTTGGTAGAGATGGGTTTCACTATGTTGGCCAGGCTGGTTTCGAACTCCTGACGTCAAATGATCCTCCTGCCTCAGCCTCCCAAAGGGCTGGGATTACAGGCGTGAACCACCATGCTTGGCCAGCATTTGCATCTTTGGCACCCATTACGGGATTTCAGACCAAAGCATTTTTCAAAACCCACACTTCTCATCCCAGAATCTCCAAACCTAACATTGATCCACTCTGAACTGAGACTTTCCTAACCACTGTAGCTTCACATCATAGAACCTCAGAATCATCAGCAGAAATTCCGAGCTCATTAAAACAACACAGTGTCTTAGTCCATTTGTGCAGCTGTAACAACATACCTGAGACTGGGTAATTCATAAAGAACAAAGGTTCATTCTCATGGTTCTGGAGACTGGGAAGTCCCAGGATCAGGGAACCAGCAGATTTGGTGTCTGATCTAATTTGGCCTTGAGTTCGAGATCACTGGTGGCCTAGAGTTCATTTGAGATAAGCTTCTGCTTCCAAGTTGGTGCCTTCTTGCTGTGGCCTTACATAGTGGAAGGTGGTAAAAAGGGATGAATGCCATGTCCTCAGAGGGTAGGAGAGATGGACGGGGAGAAGGCATACCTACTTCCCTCAGGTCCTTTTGTAAGGGCACTTATATTGTTGATGAGGGCAGAGCCCTCATGACTTAACCATCTCCTAAAGGCCCCACATCTGAATACTATCATATGGGGTCTTAGGTTTCCAACATATGAATATTAGGGGGACACATAAATTCAGCCACAGTACAAAGATAAGCATGATCAAGGGTTTTATTTCCCGGAGCAGCACCCCATCCCATCTTCTGCCATAAGAAAGGATTTCTAAGGACAGGTATAGAGAATTTCTATCCATTGGCAAATATTCCTAAGGATCATGAGAGACACTAGGAATCAGGAGTTGGGTCATTCAGTCAGCACCCCTGCAGGATTTGGAACCAGGCCAGGCATTCCCCAAAGAGGATTTAATACAGGCAGTAGTTACACAGGTGTTAGGAGGCTGAAAGTCAGCCAGGCATGGTGGCTCACACCTATAATCCTAGCACTTTGGGAGACCAAGGTGGGCAGATTGTTTGAGCCCAGGAGTTCAAGACCAGCCTGGACATGGTGAAACCCCATCTCTAAAAAAATTAGCCAGGCATGGTGGTGCACACCTGCAGTCACAGCTACAGGGAGGGAGGCAGAGGTGGGAGGATCATCTGAGCCTGAGGTCAAGACTGAAGAGAGCCTTGATCTTGCCACTGTACTCTTATCCTGGGTGACACAGTGAGACCCTGTCTCAAAAAAAAAAAAAAGGCCAGGTGCAGTACATTCCCAGCACTTTGGGAGACCCTGGAGTTCAAGATCAGCCTGAGCAACATAGTGAAACCCTGTCTCTACTAAAAATATAAAAAATTAGCTGGTTATAGTGGCGCACACCTGTAATCCCAGCTACTCAGGAGGCTGGGGTTGCAGAATTGCTTGAGCCCAGGAGGTGGAGGCTTCATTGAGCCCAGATCGCGCCACTGTACTCCAGCCTGGGAGACAGAGCAAGACTCAAAGAAAAAAATTTAAAAGTAAGAGTGCACAGTTTACTGACATGATGGCATTGGTGGTGCAGGTCGGGCTGCAGGAGTCATGCTGACCCATTTTGAGATCTCCATTTGTTATTCAAGTGGTTATATCTTATGTCTGGGGTTTAGTCTGCAGATAAAGATGTGGAAGTCATCAGTGATGCTATTTAGAGAATCTGTGATGTCTGGAGAGAACAGGAAGCCCGGGTGTACTTGGGCAGGTTGCTATCTCGGGAGAGCATGTGGGATTAGATCCTTAGGTTTGGGTTTAGGGGAACCACTGTGGGGGTAGTGTGAAACTTCTGAGCATTCACCAGGAGCCAGAGGAAATATCTGGCTTTTCATGAAGTTGGTATTTTGAAAAAAAGTGATGGTCTAACTCCAACCAGTCTCCCCATAAGTGACCCCGGCAAAGAGATCCAGGGTAGCCCTGCCCCAAAACACATACACACCCTCTACCTACCTACCTACCTAGTAGAAGTAGTGTTTCCCAGGATGGAAATTCCTGCTTTTCCAGACTCAGAGTAGGTTGAATGTCTTATTACTTAGACCAGGGGTAGGCAAACTTCTGTAAAGGGCTATATGGTAACTATTTTAAGCTTTGTAGGCCATAAGGATCTCTGTTGCAACTACTCATATCTGCTGTTCTTGGCAAAAGCAGTCATCATCAATACGTAAGTAGTGAGTATAAAACTGTGTTCCAATAAATTTTTTTTGAGACTGAGTCTCACTCATTGCCCAGGCTGGTGTGCAGTGGCATGACCTCGGCTCAATGCAACCTCCGATTCCCAGGTTCAAGCAATTCTCCTGCCTCAGCCTCCCGAGTAGCTGGGACCACAGGCGTGCACCACCACGCCTGGCTACAATAAAATTTTATTTGTAAAACCAGGCAGCAGGCTAGAGTTGGCAATCGTTTGCAGACCCCTGTTCTTGTTGCATGTAACAGAGACCCAAAATAATGGTGGCATAAATAAGAAGTTTATTTCTTAGATAGCAATATGAAAGTGGGCTGGTATGGTCTTTTTCCATGAAATTGACCAGAGACCCAGACTCCTGCTATCTTGTTGCTCTGCCATCCCACGTGTTGCTCTTGTCCTTATGGTCCGAGATGGCTGGATACCATGTCTGTATTACAGTTAGGAGGGTGGAAAAGAGGTATGTTCTTTTCTTTTTTAAATGGAGTCTTGCTGTGTCACCCAGGCTGAAGTTCAGTGGCACAATCTTGGGTCACTGCAACCTCTGTCTTCCAGGTTCAAGCAATTCTCCTGCTTCAGCCTCCCAAGTAGCTGGGATTACAGACCTGTGCCACCTCAACCGGCTAATTTTTGTAGTTTAGTAAAGACGGGGTTTCCCCATGTTGGCCAGGCTGGTCTTGGACCCCTGACCTCAGGGTGTCCAGGCCTTGGCCTCCGAAAGTATTAGGATTACAGGCATGAGCCACCGCACCTGACCACCCCTTTCTTAAGCTTGAGCATTCTACCCAGGAATTTAGCAGGAACTCAGTCACATGGCCACATCTAGCTGCAAAGGAATCTGGGAAATGTAGTCTTTCAGCTACCATGTGCCTAGCTAAAAACTGATAGTGATCAGTCTACCACATCCACCTCACCTGTGGGCTTTAAAAACATCCCTCCACGGGCCGGGCGTGGTGGCTTACGCCTGTAATCCTAGCACTTTGGGAGGCCAAGTGCTAGGATTTGGGATCACGAGGTCAAGAGATCCAGACCATCCTGGTCAACGTGGTGAAACCCCCGTCTCTACTAAAAATACAAAAAATTAGCTGGGCATGGTGGTGCGTGCCTGTAATCCCAGCTACTCAGGAGGCTGAGGCAGGAGAATTGCCTGAACCCAGAAGGCGGAGGTTGTGGTGAGCCGAGATCACGCCATTGCACTCTAGCCTGGGTAACAAGAGCGAAACTCCGTCTCAAAAAAAAAGCAAACATCCCTCCACATAAACAGAGTCTACGAGTGTTATATTCAGGGCATTGATCATTGTCTGCAGGTGCAGGGCAGGTAACTAAGGGAGTAATACTGGCCTGGTGGGATTCATCTCCAGTTGAGGGTGACACCCACTGCTTGCTCCAGCCTGTTGTAGCTTCTGCCCTGCCCCTGGGTTGGGCCTTTCAAGAGAGCTGAAAATAGGATCTTAATGAGAAATCTCCCAGTGTTGGCCAAATAAAACCTGAAACAGAAGGCATCTCTGTTTGATTCCAAATCAGTTTCCCCACAAGGCGAGGCCAACTCTGCCCTGAGTTCTCCCACCTGCCCACACCCTTATGTTCTCTGGAAATTCCCACTCAAAAGCCAGAACTCCCGGTTTAGACATTTTAATATGGATGTTTTGTTTTTAGATACTATTCCCGTTAGCTTATTCATACCATGTCACCTACAAATATGAAAAAATATTTCATGACTAGAATGATACCCAAAATTATTTAAACAATTATCAGGGGACTAGTGCCATCCAGTGACATGGCCCCTCTGAATGAGGAGGGTGGCAGGGGGGGGTGTGAAGAGATTCAAGGACTTGAATTTCCACCCCACTCAATTGGGATCCAGCTCCCAACTTTGCTGCCCCCTCCCCAAAGGCCCAAGTTGCCCCATATCTGGAACTCATCCGGTGGCACTACAGGCCAGCAACACCTTACCTTCCCTGCCCTCATTCAGGCAAAGGTCCAGGGCAGTTTGCTCCCATAGCCCATGGTATCCATCTGGGAAGAATGAAGGGTGATGGCACAATCCACAGCTAAGTGTTTAACTGGGAATTATGGAGACACAAATCATTTCTCTCCCATACTCTCTTCCCATTTTTTTATAAACAAAAGATCTCATTATTGTCTGATTTCACCATCTCCTGAAGGCCCTGTGTCCTCCAAAGACTGAAGCTCTAAATGAGAATCTTCTGGGTCCTCTCTATTAAGAGCTATCTGCCCTCCCAGGGGAGGGAAGCAAATCCCTCAGGGCCCCCAGAGTTCCTGCACCCCATATCATGGGTGGGTCTCATGGGGCACAACGTCACCTGTCACCATGGAGAGGCTTAAGCTGCACTCAGAGCTCCCCCCGGGCATGCCGAATATAGTGTTGATGCAGCCCTGCTTCCTGAGCAAAGTCCTGACCACACTCTGTGCAGGCGAAGGTGCCAGGAGGGGCTCGGGCCTCATGCATCTGGCGGTGCCGCCTCAGAGAAGCAGCCTGCCCAAAGGTCTTGCCACAGTCAGGACAAGGGAAGATGGGTTGCGCAGTAGTGGTTGCAACCGGTTGGGTGGGCTTGACGGCTGGACCATGGCTGCGCTGGTGGGTGATCAGGGCTTTGGAAGAGGGGAAGGAGCGGGCGCAGGTGAAACAGATGAAGAGGACCCCCTGCAGCTTCTGGGCCACGAAATCCGCTGGGTGTTCCCGCTTCATGTGACGCTCCTGGAACTTGGAATCTGCGAAGGTGATGAGGCAGCGGGTGCACTTCGGGGCCCCCAGGTGGCCTGAGGGATGTGGGAAGAGGTCAGGGGAGGCCAGTGGGAGTCTCCAGGACCTCTCCTGAGCCCCAGAATCACACCAGCAATTAACATTGAGTGTGCTGTGTGCTAGGTTCTGTGCTAATGCTGGACGACCACACAGGAGAACTGTTCTTGGACTCATTTTATGGATGAACAAACTGAGATTCAAAGAGATTAGGAGGCTGAGGTGGGTGAGTTCAGGAGTTCAAGACCAGCCTCAGCAACACAGTAAAACCCCGTCTCTACTAAAATACAAAAAATTAGCTGGGCATGGCGGTATTCACCTGTAGTCCCAGCTACTCAGGAGGCTGAGGCAGGAGAATTCCTTGAACTTGGGAGGCAGATGTTGCAGTCAGCCGATATCATGCCACTGCACTCCAGCTTGAGTGACAGAGTGAGACTCCATCTCCCAAAAAAAAAGAGGTTAGGCAAGTTGCCCATAGTCATGAGGCTAGGAAAAGAAATGGTGGAGCCCAGAGTCAGCCAGCCCAATAGAGGGGTACGGTGATTACAGCCTAATGTTTGGAGCCAGACCGCTCCCCCACTTCCTAGACACAATCACACCAGTTTCTTTATCTGGAAAATGCACTAATAACAGCATCTATTCCATAGGACCACTGGAAGGAATAACTGAATTGCTATGTAGTCCTTTGCAATGGTGACTAATGATACAGACAATGTAGCTCGACACCCAGGATCAGCTCTGGAACTCACAGCTAGACCTTGGTGTTCTGTTGAACATAAATAATTTCTCACAACATCAAGGACAGCCAAGGCCATGCTGTGACAAGAATGAATCAAGACAAGACTACATCATCATAATGTCTGAACACAGACAAAATATGAATGCTGTCCAAGCAGACAAATGACCAACCTTCCTCCCATCCTGGCTAATGTGAATGTCCGCTGCTGCTTTATCAGTCAGAACTTGAGCCTCACCTTCTTCCTTCCCCCTTCTGCATAAGATTTATTAAAATAGCCAATCACAGAATTGCCCCTGCTTCCTGGTGGCATCCAATCCAGAGCCACCCAACACTTTTGCTGGAACCTTTTCCAAAACCACCCCCCACAAGCCCAAATCCTATGTCGTTTTTAACACTTAGTGAGTCACTCCACAGTTCTCCATGGTGTGTGTTCTTCATTGCACTGAGCCATAAACCCAATGTGTTCAACTGCGGGTGTGTTCCTGGTAGTCTCTGGCTCAAGGGCATTGAGACTACAGCTCTTGTTAGAAATACCTTTCTCTGCCTCAGTTCCCAGTTTAAAGGGCCTATTATTCGAAGGACTGAATGAGATAATGAATGTTAAAATCATTCATTAAGAATAAATACACGCAGCACATAATAAAACATTGAGCAGGAGATACTGCTATTACATATCAAACTGGCTACCATCATTAACACCCAGCTGTCCCCTTTGCTGCAGTTAATCCCATAACCACCCTGTAAGGTGGGTAGTGCCAGCCTCTTTTGACAGACTGGGAGACCAAGGCCCAAGTTACACTGAAAGTCTAGGGCAGAGTCAGCACTAGGATCTTGGGGCTTCTCTCCCAGTAAAACTATTCTTAGCCACATCTCCAACCCAAGCCTCTCCTGGAAGCCACCTTATCCCTCTGAATGCATAAGCATCGCAATCTTGCTTATGCGGCCAGAGGAGGGTGAGTACTCTGGCCACAAAAGCAGGTGTGAGGAGAGGCACTTCCTTCTGGAGCAGCTTATGGGCCATTACAGCACCTTCTCGACAGACAAAACTCTGTGGCGCCTTGGACACTAAAGTGCCACAGAGATCTTAGCGTCACTCCTGCATCCCACCCTCCTCTAGCCAGCCAGCCATGTGTACTCACAGATGTTGCCTCCTGGGCTCTGGGGACTTATGTCCTTGGGTGAATCCTGCTGCTCCATGTTCTCTTCAGGGTTCGGGTCCTCCATGGTGCTGGGACCCTTCTAGTCAAGAGAGGAGCGTGCATAAGTGAAGCTGTTCATCTGTTACCAGCAGAGGGCACCCTAAGTCTATGACCTTTGACATCGCCAGAGGCTCTCCTTGCCTGCCTTTGACCCCCACGACATACTCTCCTTGAACTCTAATTGGTGGAGTTCTTTTTAAGAGAAGCTTCAAATCTCCCAAAAGACTGGACTTCCCGGGTTTGGGACTCCCCTAGAGTCTTCTCACTGGTGTGACCTATGACCTGCTGCATCAAACTCACTGAACTCAGCCTGGGAGCCTTTATCTTTGACACCAGCGTCATCCCAGTCTCGAGTGTCTTGGGGCAAGTAGTGATACCCACCCTTTATCCCAGTTCTTCCCGGGAAACATCCTCTGACATCCTGTGATTTTTGTTCCGCCCAGAGCCCGCGCCGCGCTTGCAGCCACTATCCCGCTACCCGCAAGCGCTGCCTACAGGTTCCTGCTCCCAGGCCTCTGTTTTCCTTCGTACAGCAGAGGGCTGCCTTTCGCTGCGCCTGTCAGTCTCTCGCCACAGCGCCGCCACCCAGAGAGAAGTGGAATAGGGCCCACTCAGTCTCAGGGTCCCCCGTGGTTTGCGCCCTTTCGCCACATGAGTCTCTCGGAGCCGAGAGCCCGGATTTGCCATCCGGCAATAGTACAGTCGCACCAGCCCGGTGCTGAAAATAACGGGAGAGGTCCTTTTCTGCACTAGGGCGCGTTATGATGACGTTTAGCCCCCTGTGCCGTAGATACCTAAGCTTTTTGCGTCTGAATGAGTAGGCGCTCGTGGCGCGCAGGCGCGTTGACTCCCTCATTGTTCTAGGTTCTGAGGCCGCGGAAGAGGGGCGTGCGCACTTTGGCCGTTCTGCGCAGGCGCTGCGAAGGTCTGGTTCTCTGCAGTCTCGCTTCCAAGACACACCCCCTTGGTTGAGTGAGTGACGTCAGGTTAAAGCCAACGGGACGCGTCCCGGCATCTCTAAATCACGGCGTTCTGGCCTCTTCGGCCTCCGTCCACCGCGGCTTAGCGTCGAGCTTCTCCGCGACTGACCCACTGCCACCGACTGCACGCTCCCGTGGGTCGGCTCTGCTCGGTTGGTGATTTGGAAGGCGGAGAGGGGGAGGATAAAAACAACAGTGTGTCCGAGGGAGGAGGGACTGGAAGCCAAATTTCTGAGGTTTTATTTTTATTTATTTATTTTTGAGAGAGGGCCTTCATGGCCCACTGCAGCCTCCAAATCCTGAGCTGAAGCGACCCTCCCACCGCAGCCTTCCGAGTAGCTGGGGCTACAGGCGTGCGCCACCACTCCCGGCTAAATTTTATTTTTTTATAGGGACAGGGACTCTACCAGCGAGTCCCACATGTTACCCAGGCTGGTCTCGAATTCCTGGCCTCAAGCGATCCTCCCGCCTCGGCCTCCCAAAGCGCTGGGATTACAGGCATGAGCCACCGCCCCTGATTTTTGAGTTTTTGAAGCAGAAGGGGAAACGTTTCCATCTAGAAAGAGGGTGGGCAGACAGGATGCCTGGGATCCCGGGGGAATAGCGTCTGGGCTCTGGCTTTTTAGGTCCCGGAGAATGACGCTCAAGAATCGAAGGGGACAGAGTGGAGGATTGAGTCCTGGGTTCCGGGTGGGGCGGCTAGGAAAGACAAAGGCCAGGTGTTCACTGACCCGGGTCTTCTCCACCCGTTGCTTTCCAGCCATGCCTCCGCCGCAGGGTGACGTGACCGCCTTATTCCTCGGGCCTCCGGGCTTGGGAAAGTCTGCGCTGATCACAGCGCTGTGCGACAAGGATGTGGAGACCCTCGAGGCCCCTGAGGGACGGCCGGACTCTGGGGTCCCCAGCCTGAGAGCTGCGGGCCCGGGCCTTTTTCTGGGCGAGCTGAGCTGTCCACCCGCAGCGCCGGGGCCCTGGGCGGCGGAAGCCAACTTGCTGGTACTGGTGCTGCCGGGACCTGAGGGCAACGGCGAACCCTTGGCCCCAGCCCTGGGAGAGGCAGCGCGGGCCGCCCTGGCCCGAGGGACGCCGCTACTGGCTGTGCGGAACCTCCGTCCTGGGGATTCACAGAATGCCACCGAGGCCCGTGATCAGACTGCAGCTCTGCTGAACAGCGCTGGGTTAGGAGCCGCGGATCTGTTTGTGCTACCGGCGAACTGTGGCAGCTGCGACGGCTGTGAGGAGCTAGAGCGCCTCCGGGTGGCACTGCAGAGCCAGGCAGAAGCGCTGAGGAGGTGAGTGCCGGCTTTCTGGCTGGGTCCCTTAGTTGGGACCCTACGCACCTAGGTCCTTTTTGAGGTCCGTGAGATCCCTCCCCCACTGGTTTTGAGGCAAAGCTTAACTCTATTATTGTATATTTTTTTCCGTCAAAGACAGGATCTCGCTATGTTGGCTAGGTTGAATTTGAACTCTTGGCCTTAAACAATACTCCCGCCTCAGCCTCCCAAAGTGCTAGGATTACAGTCGCGAGCCACCATACCCAGTCTTTTTTTGAGACAGGATGGAGTGCAGTGGCACAATCCTAGCTCACTGAGGGCCTCCACCTCCTGGGCTCAAATGATCCTTCTGCCTCAGCCTCCAGAGTAGCCAGTACTACAGGCTACAAAATAGGATCTCACTGCTTCCCCAGGCTGGTCTTGAACTCCTGGCCTCAAGCCACGCTCCCACCCAGGCTTCCCAGAGCCCTAGGATTAGAAGGGAAGGGCTTAACACTTTATTTGTTGGGGCCCTGAGGCTCATTTTTCCAGTCCCTGGCCCAACCAAGGTGATCTGCCTGCCTTGACCTCCCAAAGTGCTGGAATGACAGGCATGAGACACTGTGCCCAGCCCCCTGGAAGATTTTACCTGAAAATGATAATCCTTGAGCCTTCTCCACCATTAGCTTGGTTTTCAAGCGACCTCGGTTGCCCTAAAGCCATACTCGCAATGAGTGTTATTATTAAATATATTATTTTATTCATTTATTTGAGATGGCGTCTTACACTGTTTCCTGGGCTAGACTGCAAAGGTGCGATATCGGCTCATTACAACCTCTGCCTCCTGGGTTCCAGCTATTCTGCTTCAGCCTCTCACGTAGCTGGGATTACAGGCACCCGTCACCATGCCCGGCTATTTTTTTTCTCTCCTTTTTTGGGGGTATTTTTGGTAGAGACGGGGTTTCACTATGTTGGCCAGCCTGGTCTCAAACTCCTGACCTCACAATCCGCCCACCTTGGCCTCCCAAACTGCTGGGATTACAGGCGTGAGCCACGGCGCCTGGCCACTGAGCATTATTTGGGGGCGTCCTCATCCACCTCCTTTCTCCAGCTCCCTCTTGTTTCTGTGCCCACTTGCCAGGTACCTCCTGAATTGGCTCTCCCACCTGCCAGCCTCATCATTTTCAGACTTTAAAATGAGATTCACAGAGGCAGTTCCTTGTTCCAGTACTCTCATCTTTTTTCCTTAGCCTCACCTGCCTGGGTGACTACCTTAGCCACTCCTGCTTAGTACGAACTAGTAGATGAGATTTCTCCCTTCATTGACCCTCCTTAGGCCCAACCTCTGAAAAGAGTGCCTTTGGGGACTTTGTCTGTCTCAAATAGTACTGAGACAGACACATTTGCGGTTATTTGTTCTAGGCCCCACCCTCTTTGAGCTTTGTCCCGCCCAGCACAGCTGACCCTTGGAAAAGCCCCGCCCCCAAATACTGTATTCGGTAGAAGTCTTAGTCCAATCCCCATTTTAGGCTAGGGTGGGAAATCTGACCTTAAGCCCACCCATCCAATCATCAAGACTCCATTATTGCTTTAAGCCTCTCCCATATCATCATGGCCCCTCCCCATCTGGTTTCTATTTGCTGTGCAATCAGTCAGGCCCCTCACTTTCCCTCCGCTGCCCCACTCTGAGATTACTCGGAAAGCTCTGCCATTGTCATCATAGCCCAGTCCTTGTCACCCAGCCCCTCTTCTACCCTTGACCCTGTCCTTTCTTGTCTCCGCAGGCTCCTGCCACCGGCCCAGGATGGTTTCGAGGTGCTAGGTGCAGCAGAGCTGGAGGCTGTGCGCGAGGCCTTTGAGACCGGCGGCCTGGAGGCTGCGCTGTCGTGGGTACGCTCAGGCCTGGAGCGCCTGGGCAGTGCACGGCTAGACCTGGCCGTGGCCGGCAAGGCTGATGTGGGCCTTGTGCTGGACATGCTGCTCGGATTGGATCCTGGCGACCCAGGTGCTGCGCCTGCTTCGGTGCCCATGGGACCCACTCCCTTCCCGGCCCCAGAGCGCCCGAATGTGGTGCTCTGGACTGTGCCTCTGGATCCCGCGGGCACTGCCACCACCCCCGCTGCCACCTCCCACTCTTCGCACTACGACGCCCTCATCCTCGTCACCCCTGGGGCCCCCACTGAGAAGGACTGGGCCCAGGTCCAGGCCTTGGTGCTACCAGATGCGCCTCTCGTCTGCGTGCGCACAGACGGCGAGGGTGAGGATCCGGAGTGTGTGGGAGAAGGCAAGATGGAGAAACCCAGCGGAGAGAGCTTAAAGAATGCGGGCGGAGGGGGACTGGAGAATGCACTCAGTAAGGGAAGGGAGAAATATAGCACTGGATCGCAGAAAGCAGGCAGCAGGGAAGGTTCTGGGAAAGCTGGCAGCGAGGGTTTGCAGCAGGTTGTTGGCATGAAGAAATCGGGCGGTGGGGACTCAGAGCGGGCCGCCGCGTTAAGCCCAGAGGACGAGATGTGGGAGGTGCTGGAGGAGGCACCGCCGCCAGTGTTTCCCCTACGGCCTGGCGGACTCCCAGGGCTGTGCGAATGGATGCGGCGAGTGCTCCCCCCAGCCCAGGCAGGGGCGCTGCTGCTGGCGCTGCCACCAGCGTCTCCCAGCGCTGCCCGAACCAAGGCTGCGGCACTACGAGCCGGGGCGTGGAGGCCAGCTCTGCTGGCTAGCCTGGCGGCTGCGGCAGCACCACTCCCAGGACTGGGCTGGGCATGCGACATAGCGCTTCTGCGGGGTCAGCTGGCCGAATGGCGACGGGGCCTAGGGCTGGAACCCGCGGCGCTGGCTCGACGTGAGCGCGCTCTGGGCCTGGCTCCTGGTGAGCTGGCAGCGCGTGCTCGTTTCCCAGGCCCAGTGACGCGCGCTGAGGTGGAAGCAAGGCTGGGCGCGTGGGCGGGTGAGGGCACTGCTGGGGGCGCAGCACTGGGCGCGCTCTCCTTCCTGTGGCCTGCTGGTGGCGCAGCGGCGACAGGTGGCCTGGGCTACCGAGCGGCTCATGGCGTCCTGCTGCAGGCACTCGATGAGATGCTGGCTGATGCTGAGGCCGTGCTGGCACCCCCTGAGTCTGCACAGTGAGGGGTGGGATGGGGGCTAGACTCCCCCAAGTTTCACCTCAAGGGGAGGGGGCTTGGGAATCCAGATTCTGGCAGGGGTTGTCTGGGCTTAATTCTGGGTGCTTGAAGGGGAGGTGGACTCTGACATCTAGCTGGGATATGTGATTTCTCATCACCTGGATTCAGAGAGTCTAGAGGACAGGAATCCTGATTTCTTTGGTAACTATGGGGCATGACATCCAGACCCTTCAGTACTGAAGGGAGGTGGTGGCCAGGACTCTGGAAGGGACTATGTCTTTGTCTCCCAGGGAGTAGAAACTGGAGTTATTGGATGTTTAGTCCTCCAGTGGAGGAGGGTAGAAGTCCTGTTTCCTAATTGGTGGGGAGATGTCCATGACTGGGATTTGAGCTCCAGTATAGGGGTGGGAGACCTGAGCACCCCAGGGAACTGAAACTCATGGGCTTCAGAGCCTCAGGGAAACAGGGTCTACATTTCTCTTGGAGAAAAAGCCTGTACACAGGTCCCCAAGGAGCAGTGGGCTTTGAATCTTTATGGGGTTGAGGAGGCCTCTGGGGTCTTGGCCTCCTGGGTTCCAAGATGGCTGGGGACCTTGGTTCCTAATTCTTGGGTCTGGGGAGGTCTGCATCTGGAGGAGGGATTGAGGGCTTGTGGGAGAAAGCTGGAGACCTCTTGATCACTCCTGGGGAGTAGATGGGTTTCTACTAATTGCCCTCCAAAAGTCTGTTTGTAGAGACAGTGGTCCCACAAAAATGAGGTGAGGTACGTAAGAGATCTGGGCAGGGTGGGCTCTGAGAGTAGCTGGGGACCAGGAATGAGGCCTTCTGGGTGTGAAAGGGCAGGAAAGCAAACCTCAGAGATAGAGCTCCTGCAGACCTTGTGTTGGGATCCCAGCAACTGCCTCTGTGAGTGTGACTGGGAAGGGATGTAACTGCCTTCACTTTCTAGGTGCAGAGCAATTCAGGTGATCTCTGGGGAGTCTGTTCCTGTGTCTCTTTTCTTTAGGGGTTTCTATCTGTTTTTGGCCTCGGTTTCTCCTGTCATTTAACCATAACCTTTTCTGACCTTGGTGTTTTGTGCACCTTCCTTTTTGGAAGAGCAGCTGTACTCCTGCACTGGTCCCAACACTTCTGTGTGGCTACCTCAGGTATCTCCAAGAGGCTCTGCTTTCTGGTGTACATAGAGGGTGCTGCATTGAGCCAGGGGCTCACCAAATGGGTGGGCAGGCATTCAAGACCATGGGAATATGCCAGGAGTGAGTGAAGCAAAGGCAGAAACCATGGTGCCTGGAATGTTCTAGGCCGCTAGCTATATGTAGGGGGAAAGCTGCAGATTACAGAATTCTTCAGCGTCAGAAACAGAAAAGGAGGATCTGAAAATCCAAACGAAGTCCAGTTAGGGGCGGCTTGAGGCCCAACAGCACACAGTAAGGCCCTGCAGGTCTGGCCCTTGCCTGTTCTCATTCCCTGCCCCTTCCCACCCCCATCAGCCTGATAGGCTTTCCGTTTTTTTTTTTTGAGATGGAGTTTTGCTCTGTTGCCCGGGCTGAAGTGCAGGGACATGATCTCCGCTCACTTCAAGCTCAGCCTCCTGAGTAGCTGAGATGACAGGCACGGCCCACCACATCTGGGTAATTTTTGTATTTTTAGTAGAGACAGGGTTTCACCATGTTGGCCAGGCTGGTCTTGAACTCTTGACCTCAGGTGATACACCTGCCTCAGGCTCCCAAAGTGTTGGATTACAGGCGTGAGCCATCATGCCCACCGGATTTTCTTTGTGATGCCTGAGTGGCCACCTTGAGTCCTGCCTGGGAACCCTTGCCCCTGCTGTTCTCTTTCCTGCAAGGCTCCTCTCACAACTTCCTGTTCTACTCTTAAACCTACCTTTCTGTGACTGGCTCAGTCAGATCTCAGCTCAAATATCCCCTCAAAGAGAACTTCCCCTCCCTGAACACCCTATCTGAAGTAGCTCACATCCCCCATTAGTCATTCCTGCCAGTTGAATTTCCTTGTAGCAATTATTACTATGAAAAACGATCTTATTTATTTACCTGTTTATTGGTGTTTCAACCATTGCCTGTCCTGTTCTTTATCGTTCCCCCAGCATCTAGAACAATAGCTGCCTGACACAATAGGTGCTTGGTAACTATTTATTATTATTATGTTAGAGACAGGGTCTTGCTCTGTTGTCCAGGCTGGAATACAGTGGCATGACCGAGATTCACTGCTACCTCCAACTCCTGGGCTCAAATGATCCTCACACCTCTGCCTACTGAGTAGCTGGGACTATAGGTGCACACCACCAGATGTTTTGTAGAGACAGGTTTTGGTTTGTAGCCCACGCTAGTGTTGAACTCCTGGCCTCAAGCGATCCTCGCACCTTGATGGGATTACAGGTATGAACCACCAGACACCCAGCCTAAATGTTTATCTCATTGATCAGTGGCAGAACTAGGATTGGAATTTAGATTGTTGATCTCTTGCCACAAGATAGGAAAATGGAGCAAGATGGGGAGAAACAAACATTTAATAGGAAAGAACGCCCTTGTCCAAGGTCAGGGGACCTGGGAAGCAAGCATGGCTTTGCCGCTGTCACTGTGTGTGACTTGGACAGTGCCTTATTTTCCCATCTGTGAAATGAAAGAGCTAGAGAAGAACCTTAAATCGTTTTGAGATCCTGTCTCCCTTAAAAGCTGAAGACAAGGGTAACTGATCCGAGGGCAGATACCTGAGGGATGGTACCACCGTCTCTAGCTTGGACTCCTCCCACCACTGACACTGTCCCATCAAAGCTGAGATATCCTCCATGGGGAAGAGTGCTTGGTTCTATACTGAATGGCTCAAGGCATTTTCATGAAAGCTCTTAGCTTTAGGGGAAGAAGATTCATATCTGTAATATCTAGTACACTCCTTTATAGCCCTCATATTAGGGTCTAAGCCCTGGCAATCAGGCGTGTCACCCATGTGATGGAATGGGAGGGCTGCAGGGCAGCACTGTCCAGCAGAAACAAAATTCAAGCCACATATGTCATTTTAAGTTTTTGTGTGTGTGACAGTCTTGCTCTGTCACCCAGGCTGGAGTACGGTGGTGTGATCTCAGCTCACTGCGATCTCCTCCTGGGTTCAAGCGATCCTGCCTAAGCTTCCTGAGTAGCTGGGACTACAGGCATGTGCCGTCACACCTGGCTAATTTTTGTATTTTTAGTAGAGATGGGGTTTCACCATGTTAGCCAAGCTGGTCCCAAACTCCTGGCCTCAAGTTATCCACCCACCTCAGTCTCCCAAAGTGCTGAAATTACAGGCAAGTTTTCTAATAGCCACATTAGACAATTAAAAGGAAACAGGTTAAGTTTATTTTAATATGTTTTACTTAACTCAATATATCCAAAATAGCATTTTAGCATGTCCAATATTTTTTAAATGAGTTACTTTACATTGTTTTATGCTGTCTTCAAAACCTGGTGTATATTTTAGACTTACACCACATCTCAATTACCATGATACATTTTAATCTGAAATGCTTGACCTGTGTTTCAAATTCATAAAATTCATATTTGGAGAAGTAGATTTACATATCCCAGTTCCAATTATATAATAGTTTTCCAAAAACTGAAGTGGTTGTCCATTTTTTAAAAGTAGAGTTGGGGGTCTCATAAAGTTGACCAAGTTGGTTTTGGTTTTTGTTTTGTTTTTTCAGGCAGAGTCTCACTTTGTCACCCAGACTGGAGTGCAGTGGCGTGACCTTGGCTCACTGCAATCTCCACCTCCCAGGATCAAGTCATTCTCTTGCATCAGCCTCCTGAGTTGCTGGGACTACAGGCGTGTGCCACCACGCCCGGCTAATTTTTGTTTGTTTTTAGTAGAGACGGGATTTCACCATGTTGGCCAGGCTGGTCTCGAACGCCTGACCTCAGGTGATCCACCCACCTCAGCCTCCCGAAGTGCTAGGGTTACATTTATGAGCCATCACGCTACCACCAAGCTGGTTTTGCACCCCTGGCCTCAAGTGATCCTCCCACCTCTGCCTTCCAAAGTGTTGGGATTACAGGCATGGTCCACCCTACCTGGCTTAGCTGTTCAATTAAAAGTAAATAAAATTTAAGATTCTATGTCTCATTGGCAATAGAACAACATTTCAAATAGTAGCCATGTGTGATCAGTGGCTACAGTATTGGACAGTGCAGATACAACTTCCATCAGCTGGAAATTCTGTCAGCCTAGCTCTCGGGGCGGGTAGTCCTTCAACTGACTTGAGCATGTGACTCCACAAATGGCCTCTACCTCCGGTGGTTATGGTGAGAAACAAGCATATGTATGTACATACATGCAGACAACATGTGCACATACTCATAACATATTACACCCTTTCGTGAGAAGCCTCACACACTGGGAGCTCAAACTTGAGTGCCACCCAGCCCAGGGCATCACCAAGATGGCTCTAGTCTGGGCGCCTTTTGTCTCATCCCATGCCTTTGCTCAGAATGTGCCCCTCCTTTTTCCGCCACTTTGACACCGTCTCTGATTTGGTCCTGTCTGACATCACTGCTATATGCTTTGCTGCTCTAAATTTCCCCTGCCCTCATGCCAGCAGGAGTCATGCCAGAGATCATATCTGAGAAAGCAAGACAATTGTGTGTGTGTGTGTGTGTGTGTGTGTGTGTGTGTGGGTGGTGTGTGTCTGCCCATAGAGGAGTGCTGGTTGTGTTGATACAGTTGGTTGTGTTTATATAGTTGTATATATTGACACCCTTGAGTGTTAGGGCTCTTTGTGAGGGTGTTCACCTTTTAAATCATGACTTTCAACGGGATTGAATTTTAGTCTTTGTGAAGACATATGGTTGTCAATAGGCATCTGTCTCTAGGAGCATCCAAGCAGAAAAGACTAAGACTCTCGTGTAGACAGATCACTGGCCACCATCAAAGTGTGTCTATGGCACCACAGGGCTGGAAGACTCTCAAAGGCAGGAATTCAAGGAAATTGATGATGAATTTTGGAATTGCCCTCAGAAGCAGAACAGGCATGGAAAACTTGGGTGAATGGGTGAGACAGCCTCATCACCACAGCAGAGTTCCATACATTCCTGGATAATGGTGGAGGGGTTTGTGTCCACTGCAGTGGGGAACCATGAAGGACACATCAAAGATACGGTTGGCCTGTGGTGCCCTTTGGAGGAATGAATAAAAATGAATAGAAATCCTATTGTGTGTCTGTTCTTCTGAAGTTTGAGGGAAAAAACGATCCTTAAGATTTTGACTGGGTTGGAAACCTAGACTCTGGGTCTGGGGATTGGAGGGATGGTGGGGAATCTGCCGGGAAAGACTGGGCTGTGATCAAGAGACTTATCAGTATCTGAGTTTTGCCACCATGGAAGGAGCGCAGGCAGACTTTCTGTTTAAACATTGGGAGCTTGTGATGGTAAAGCACCTTAGCTCTGGAACCAGCTGGACCCATTAATGTCCCCAGTTGGTCCAGCTTTCTGTAGCCACGCACTTGAATTGTTGACCACTAGAACAACAGCAAACGGGATGCAAGCAGCGGCTTGAAAAGTGCTCTCCACACTGGACTTCCTGTCTTGCTGCCCTTGGGGCCCCTCCCACCACTGCCACATCCAAACCCCAGGCTGACCCAGCACAGTGGCTTATATCCATAATCCCAGCACTTAGGGAGGCAAAGGTAGAAGGATTACATGAGCCCAGGAGATCGACACCAGCCTGGGCAACATGGCAAGACCTCATCTCTACAAAAAATCAACAACAGCTTTTCTGGTCCTGGTCGCAGAAGCAGGATGACGAAGGGAACGTCATTGTTTGTGAAGCATCACAATAAGACACACATGTTGTGCCGCCGCTGTGGCTCTAAGGCCTACCACCTTCAGCAGTTGGCCTGCGGCAAATGTGGCTACCTGCCAAGCACAAGAGAAAGTATAACTGGAGTGCCAAGGCTAAAAGATGAAATACCACCGGGAGTGGTTGAATGAGGCACCTAAAAATTGTATACCGAAGATTCAGGCATGGATTCCGTGAAGGAGCAACACCTAAACCCAAGAGGGCAGCTGTTGCAGCATCCAGTTCATCTTAAGAATTTCACCGATTAGTCACGCAATAAATGTTCTGGTTTAAAAAAAAAAATCAACAACAAAATTAGCCAAATTGGTGGTATGCACCTGTGGTCCCAGCTACATAGGGGAGGCTGAGGCAAGAGGATTGAGTCCAGGAAGTCGAGGCTAAAGTGAGCTCTGATGGCTCCACTGCACTCACACTCCAGCCTGGGAGACAGAGCAAGACAATGTCCTGGCCAGGCGTCGTGGCTCACACCTGTAATCCAAGCACTTTGGAGGCCAAGGTGGGCGGATCACCTGAGGTCGGGAGTTCAAGACCAGTGTCACCAACATGGTGAAACCCCATCTTAAAAAGAAGACAATGTCCTTAAAAAAAAAAGAAGGCCAAACCTGGTGGCTCATACCTGTTATCCTGGCACTTTGGGAGGCCAAGGTGGGTGGATCACCTGAGATTGGGGGTTTGAGATTGGCCTGACCAACATGGAGAAACCCTGTCTTTATTCTAAAAAAAAAAGAGGATGGAAGGGAAGGGGACAGAAGGGAGGGAGGGAGGGCAGGAAGAAAGGAAGGAAGGAAGAAAGGAAGGAAGGAAGGAAGGAAGGAAGGAAGGAAGGAAGGAAGGAAGGAAGGAAGGAAGGACCTGAGCTAAAGAGACGCATGGCCCAGTCATCCTTGATCCCCGAAATAGGCAGCTGAGACTAAAAGAATTGCCCAGCTGATCCCAGACCAAATTGCAACCCAGAGAAACATGAACTAAACAGGTGATTGTTCTAAACCACTAAATTTTGTAGTGTTTTTTTATGTAGCAAAAGCAACTAATTTGTTCTCTCGGTATGTGATGTGGTCTCTCTGTCCCTAGCAATGTGACCTAATGATTAAAATCTTAAACTCGGTGGCACAACTGGCTTGAGCGATTGGAAACAAGGTGCAGGACCCCAACGCAGACACTGAGTGGAATGACGTCTTACGTAAAAAGGGCATCTTGCCCCCCAAGGAAAGTCTGAAAGAATTGGAAGAGGAGGCAGACGAGGAGCAGCACATCGTCCAGCAGTCAGTGGTGACAACATATGAAGATATGACTTTGGATCATGAAGACAAGTTTAATGAGGAGGATGAATATGCCATTGAAATGTACAGACTGGCTGAGTGGAAAGCAGCTAAACTGAAGAATAAATTTGGAGAAGTTTTGGAGATCTCAGGGAAGGATTATGTTAAGAAGTAACCAAAGCCGGGGAGGGCTTGTGGATCATCTTGCACCTTTACAAACAAGGAATTCCCCTGTGTGCCCTGATAAATCAGCACCTCAGTGGACTTGCCAGCAAGTTTCCTGATGTGCAGTTTATCCGAAGCCATTTCAACAACCTGCATACCCAATTATCCTGATAGGAATCTGCCTGCGATATTTGTTTACCTGGAAGGTGATATCAAGGCTCAGTTTGTCGGTCCTCTGGTGTTTGGTGGCATGAACCTGACAAGAGATGAGTTGAAGTGGAAACTGTCTGAATCTGGAGCAATTAGGACGGACTTGGAGGAGAACCCTAAGAAGCAAATTGAAGACGTGTTGCTGTCCTCAGTGCGGCGCTCTGTCCCCACGTGGAGGGACAGCGATTCCGACGGGGACTGAGGCTGCAGCTGCTATCACATGCTGAACTTTCTGTGACAAATTGTCTGAATTTTTAAAAAAAGGAAAAAGCAAGAATGAATCCTTCTGATTTTTAGTTTTGTATAAATTACATTTTAAATATTTACATTTTGGAAATAATCATTGCTGGAAATTCTGTTAAATATTTTACAACTTTTAAAATTATAGTATTTCCGCTAAAAAAAATTAAAACCAGCTCTTGGTATGGTTAAAAAAAAAAAAAAAATCTTAAACTCTGCCACTTTTTAGCTGTGTGACCTCCAGTGAGACAGCCCTCTGAGCCTCAATGTCTCCTGAAAACAGGGATGCCAGTAATAGTGCCTATTACATAGAGTTGTGAAAATAAATGGAAAACAGCTTCTAAGGGGTCATGGAGGTCATTTGTGCTATTAATGAAACATGTCCAGCTCTCTGTCTTCTGACCTTGGGGCAGGATCTCACTTCCTGGCCCCCATGTGGTTGGGTGGGCCACATGACTAGCTCCATCCAGTGACTTGTATTAAAAGTCACTTCTGGGTCACAGCATATGATTATCCATGGTAGACTTCCTGTGGCACAGAAATTGGCCATGTTCAAGTTGGTGGATTCTTTCTCTTTCTTGTTTCTTTCTTTCCTTTCTTTTCCTTCCTTCCTTCCTTCCTTCCTTCCTTCCTTCCTTCCTTCCTTCCTTCCTCCCTCCCTCCCTCCCTCCCTCCCTCCCTCCCTCCCTCTCTCTCTCTTTCTTTCTTCTTTCAACAGGGTCTCACTCTGTCATAAAACAGTGCACTCACCCAGGCTGGAGTGCACTGGCAAGATCTCAGCTCACTGTAACTTCTGCCTCCTGGACTCAAGTGATCCTCCTGCCTCCGCCTCCCAAATAGCTGGGACTACAGGCATGCACCACCACACCTGGCTAATTTGTTTGCATTTTTATAGAGCTAGGGTTTCTCCATGTTTCCCAGACTGTTTTTTTTTTTTTTTTGAGACAGAGTTTCGCTCTTGTTACCCAGGCTGGAGTGCAATGGCGCGATCTCGGCTCACTGCAACCTCCGCCTCCTGGGTTCAGGCAATTCTCCTGCCTCAGCCTCCTGAGTAGCTGGGATTACAGGCACGCGCCACCATGCCCAGCTAATTTTTTATATTTTTAGTAAAGATGGGGTTTCACCTTGTTAACCAGGATGGTCTCGGATCTCTTGACCTCGTGATCCACCCGCCTCGGCCTCCCAAAGTGCTGGGATTACAGGCGTGAGCCACCGCGCCCGGCCGCCCAGACTGTTCTTAAATTCCTGGGCTCAGATGATGCTTCTGCCTCGGCCTCCCAAAGTCCTGGGATGACAGGCGTGAGCCGTCATACTCTGCCAGTGGCTACTTCATGGTTGTGATGAGCTGAACACCCCGTAGATAGTGCTACGGTGAAGGAAAATTTAACCTTTTGTGAATGGCCAGTCATTCAGCAAATATCCACTCTTCTCCCTGCCACTGGAGCGGGGGTATATTTCCCTGCTCCATTGATGGGTTTGACCATATGATTTAGCAGGCCTAACCTTAGCAAGAGCTTGAAATGTACTTGGCTTTTGTGCTCCCGTGATGTGCCATGAGAGCATTTGCCAGGGAGCTGCTGATCCCAGAAAATTGTGGAATCCCATGGAAGAGAGATCTGAATCCTCCCAAACTGGAGCCAAAGCAGCCATCCCACAAACCCTTAGAAGAATGCTTGTTGGTATAAATCTCAGTTTTCAGGCTGAGGTGGGGGATTGCTTGAGCCCAGGAGTTTGAGACCAGCCTGGGCAACATGGGGAAACCCTGTCTCTAAAAAAGACATTAATACAAAAATAGCTGATTGGTCTTTGTTGTTCTACGTCCTTCGCTACGGGAGTCCCCGATGACTTTGTCACAGCCTCCATTGCCTTGTGATCTTCAGGTCCTGGGAGATGCACAGCTAAGATGCCAGGACACCCTGGAAGCTGGGATATGGTGGGTTGGTTACTCTCAGACCAAGATTCAGCAGACATGTGAGGCTGTGACTGCACTGAAAGACACTTTCTTTTTTTTGTTACAAAGTCTCACTCTGTTGCCCAAGCTGGAGTGCAGTGGCTCAATCTCAGTTCACTGCAACTTCTGCCTCCTGGGGTCAAGTGATTCTCCTGCCTCAGCCTCCCCAGTAGCTAGTACTACAGGCACTATGCCCGGCTAAGTTTTTTGTATTTTTTAGTAGAGACGGGATTTTACTATAGTTGGCCAGACTGGTCTTAAACTCCTGACCTCGTGATCCACCCACCTTGGCCTCCCAAAGTGCTGGGATTACAGCAGGAGCCACCACACCCGGCCCAAAATTGCGGCTGTCTTGCAAAAATTCTGTCAAGCATGAGATTGTGACTCATGTACTTAGACCCAACATACAGGAGGGGTTGACCCTCGTACCTAAAACTTGGACATGTATGGAATTTCTAATCTAATTCCTGAACTTTTCTGCAGGTGTGATTGTGACATACGCCTTTGTCCAGCACCTGAGTGATTTCAGTTTCCTGCCTGGTCCCAGACCAAAGGTGATGTTACTTCTTTAGCCTGCGCCCCGCCAAAAGAGGATTGTGATGTGTCACTGGACCCAGCACCTAGATGATGTAACTCTCATCTTTTGCTTGGACCTTGCATATTTTGGGTGGATTGGTGACTCTCAGGTCAAGATTCAGCACACCTGTGCGGCTGTGATTTGACTGAGGAAACACGGTCTGTAGAAGAGATTGAGGCTGTTATGTGTGGATTCATCTACATTGAGATTGTGACTTGTGTACTTAGACCCAACATCCAAATGATATTGATTCTCATACCTAGAATGAAGACATGTGAAGAAAAAAAAAAAATAGCCAGGCATGGTGGCACACGCCTGTAGCCCCAGCTACTAGGAAGGCTGAGCAGGGAGGATTGATTGAGCCCATGAGGTTGAGGCTGCAGTGAGCTGTGATGGTGCCACTGCATTCTAGGTTGGGAGACAGGGTAAGACTCTGTCTCAAAGGGGGAAAAAAAAAAACAGGCACGGTGGCTCACGCCTGTAATCCCAGCATTTTGGGAGGCTGAGACAGGCGGATCACGAGGTCAGGAGATCAAGACCATCCTGGCTAACAAGGTGAAAACCCATCTCTACTAAAAATACAAAAAATTAGCCTGGCATGGTGGCATACACCTGTAATCCCAGCTACTTGGGAGGCTGAGGCAGGAGAATCGCTTGAACCCGAGAGGTGGAGATTGCAGTGAGCTGAGGTTGTGCCACTGCACTCCAGCATGGGTGACAGAGTGAGACTCCCTCTCAAAAAAAAAGTCTCAAGCCGGGCGCGGTGGCTCAAGCCTGTAATCCCAGCACTTTGGGAGGCCGAGGTGGATGGATCACGAAGTCAAGAGATCGAGACCATCCTGGTCAACATGGTGAAACCCCGTCTCTATTAAAGATACAAAAAATTAGCTGGGCATGGTGGCGAGTGCCTGTAATCCCAGCTACTCAGGAGGCTGAGGCAGGAGAATTGCCTGAACCCAGGAGGCGGAGGTTGCGGTGAGCCGAGATTGCACCATTGCACTCCAGCCTGGGTAACAAGAGCGAAACTCCGTCTCAAAAAAAAAAAAAAAGTCTCAGTTTTAGGATGATTTGTTACACAGCATTATTACAGTGTTTGTTGTTTTAAACCACGGAGATCAGGGACTTGTTTTGTTACTGTAACATCATCTAGTTTGTCTCAGTTGATGCCAGTGTTTAGCACCTGTCAACTAATGGCCACTCAGTAAGTGGCAGCTATTATGATGATTACTGTTTACTCGGGCACACATTGTCTTTAGAATCCACATGGTCTTAAAGGTGCTAGGCATTGCACTAAGCGCTTTTTTTTTTTTTTTTTGAGATGAAGTTTGCTCCTTGTTGCCCAGGCTGGAGTGCAATGGTGCGATCTCAGCTCACTGCAACCTCTGCTTCCTGGGTTCAAGCGATTCTCCTGCCTCAGCCTTCCAAGTAGCGGGGATTACAGGTATGTGCTACCGCGTCTAGCTGACTTTCTATTTTTAGTAGGGATGGGCTTTCTACATGTTGGTCAGGCTGGTCTCAAACTCCCAACATCAGGTGATCTGCCCACCTTCTTCTCCCAAAGTGCTGGGATGACAGGCATGAGCCACCACACCTGGCCTGCACTAAGTGCTTTTTAAGTTGGCTTTCATTTGACTCTTACAGCCTTATGAGTTTATAACTATTAATCTCTACGTTTTGCAGACATGAACACTGAGGCAAAAAAGGAAGAGGTTAATTGAAAGAGATCATGGACTCTGAAGTATACCAGACTTGGGTTCAAATCAAGGTCCTGACCCTCTCTAGTTGTTTGACCCAAGGCAAATGACACCCACAATCTATGCCTCAGTTTGTTCATCTGTAGAGTGGGGTAATACTATCAACCTCATAGAGTTGTTATGATCATGAAATGAAGTATAGGATGGAAAATACAGCATAGGCAAGGATTAATCCCTTCATAAAAGGCAGGGCTGCCAAGCCCAGTGGCTCACACCTGTCATCCCAGCACTTTGGGAGGCCAAGGATGGCATGTTGCCCAGCCTGGGCAACATGGTGAAACCCTGTTACTATAAAGAATTAGCCGGGCATGGTAGCGTATGCCTGTAGTCCCAACGACTAGAGAGGCTGAGGTGGGAGAATCACCTGAGCCTGGGAAGTCGAGGCTGCAGTGAGCCATGATTGTGCCACTGTACTCCAGACTGGGTGAGAGTAAGACCCTATCTAAAAAAAAAAAAAAAAAAAAAAAAGAAAAAGCAGGGCCTTCCTTCTCTTCGTCAAAAGGAGGGGGTTTGAAAAGGGGATTGAGAACCCCTACTTCCTTCATTCTGTCTCAACATATACCACATCACAAGGACTCAGGCTTGGTCTAAGAACTTTAATTTATAGACATAGGGAGCTACAAGGCTCAGGACAAATGGGGACTTCAGGCCACTTATATCTTCCTCGGTTCAGTGAGCTCTCCAGGCCTCTGGCGTGGCGGCTTTACTGCACTCTGTTCGGCTGAGGACGAGGACGTGGGAGGCTGTGGGCACTTCAGCACCTGGATTGGCGTAGCACATACTCTGTGTAGCACAGCCCCGCATGGCAAATCTGGGTTTGAAGACACCTGAAAGGGAGATTTCAGATTGGAATCAGGGACCTCAGCCCCTTCTTCTTCATAATCCCTGAACACATCCTCACCCACTTCTCTGGAACCCTTTCCTCCCATGGAACCTAAGAGTTGGGGCCTCTAGTTCTGTTTCCTCCTCCAGAGATCCAGGCACCCCTCACCAGCTTGCACATGTCCAGATAAGGCGACGCAGTAGTTTTCCTTGCCAGCACAGCGGGTCATGGGCCCCATGCATTTGTCCTTGAAGACCGAAGTGCAGGCGGGGCACATCAGGCCATTCTCAGTACGATTGGTCAAGGGAACTGAGGATGAGGATGAAGCGTCAGGTGAACAGGGATGTTTAAGCCCTTCCCCCAACCTCCCAGCAACCCCAGGGTTGCTAATGGACGCTGCATTTTACAGGTTAGGGAACAGGCTCAGAGCCAACAAGTGGCTACAGCAAGGGTTAGTGGAGAGCCAGAGCACACACCACAGGCCACGGGCTTCTGGGGCAGGGCTGGGCTGGCGCTTACCCGACAAAAAGCCACTGTTGCAGTTGTCGCTCTGGCAGCAGAAGGAGTTGGTTGCCAAGTAGTCCTGGGGGCCCATGGTGGTGGATACGATACCGGAGTAGCAGTCCTGGGACCTGGTGCAGCCTTTGTAGGTGTGCACCCACTCCTTGCCCTCTGCAGGACGGGGGACAGGCGGGGAGGGAGCTGGTTGACCACTCCCAGTTCTCAATCACTGCCTCAAGGTCCCACCTAATCCTAGGCTTCCCCAATCCCGCAACTTCCTGGAGAGGTCTCTTTCTTTTTCTTTGTTTCTTTTTTTTGAGACAGAGTCTAACTCTGTTGCCCAGGCTGGAACGCAGTGGCGAGATCTCAGCTCACTGCAACCTCCGCCTCCCGGATTCAAGCGATTCTCCTGCCTCAGCCTCCAGAGTAGCTGGAATCACAGGTGCCCGCCACCACACCCGGCTAATTTTTTTGTGTTTTTAGTAGAGAGAGGGTTTCACCATGTTGGCCAGGCTGGTCTCGAACTCCTGACCTCAGGTGATGGGGGGGGCACTCGACCTCCCAAAGTGCTGGGATTACAGGCGTGAGCCACCGCTACCGTCCAGCCGGCTGTCTCTTTCAAGCCAGCTGGAGGCCAGCCGCCTAATCTGTCCGGTGCATGGCCTGGGGTGGTTTCTTAGATCGCCCTTCCTCCCGCTGCCATAGCCCCTGGTCGGCGTTTGGTGGTCTCTTCCAGCTCCCCATTGCCAACCTCAGCCTGTCTGACATGGTCCTTTTCACCCTACCCCACCCACGGCCATCCCTCTCTCCCTGTCCTGCCAGGATTGCTCTATTTCAGGCCGCCTATGGCCACCCCCATGCCTGCGTGAAATGGTCTCTTCCAGCCTTCACAACTCCCCGCCCACCCCGGGGGTTTCTTCCAAGGAACCCTAGTCCCAGAGACACTCACCCTTCACTCTCAGATCCTGCCATGGTCACTCCTCAGACCTCCCATCGAGGGTCTCTTGCAGCCCCTCTTGGCTATTTTCAGGTCTTATTTAAGGTGGGTTCTTCCAGTCTCCCCGGCCTTCCCCCTCTCCACCATGTGGTGGTCTCTTCCTACCCAATTCACAGGTTCCCCCTTGACCCCATCGAGGGGTCCCCCAGCTCTTTCTCTCTCCTTTCCCAGGGTGCGTTTCGTCTTCTGTGTCGGGGTTGGGGGGGAGGGTTTCTTCAAGCCTTTCAGGTCCTTGCCTAACCCATCAACACTGGCTGGGGGATCTTCTATTTCGCTTTCCTTTCTAACCCACTTTCCTTTCTCAGCCCCTCCCTACCAGTGGTTTCTTCCTACACCCAAAGTCGCCCTTCATCTACCACAGCCTTCATTCCCTCACCAGGCCCCATCATCTCTCCTCCTGTGACTAAAGGTCTCTTTCAGCTTTGCATAAACATTCTTGTCCCCCAGTGGTCTCTTCCACTGCTCCCTTTCTCCTCCATCCTTTTTCAGGTCTGGGATGGTCTCTTTCATTTAACTCATGCCCATCTTCTCTCTTCCATTTTATTTTCTGAGACAGGATTTCCCTTTGTCGCTCAGGCTGGAATGCAGTGACGTGCACTTAGCTTACTGTAGCCTCTATCTCCAAGCTTAAGTGATCCTCCTGCCTCAGCCTCCCAAGTGGCTGGGACTACAAGCATGTGCCACCATGTCCGACTAATTTTTTTTTTTTCTGTAGAGATGGGGTCTCTTTTTGTTGTTCAGGCTGATCTCAAACTCCTAGGTTCAAGTGATCCTCCCACCTCAGCCTCCCACAGTGCTGGGATTACAGGTGTGAACCACTGCACCCAGCCTCCCTTTCATTTTACTCATCCACATCTCCCCTTCCCTGTCTGCTTCTCCTCTTTAAAATGATTTGCTCAGCAGAGCATGGTGGCTCATGCCTGTAATCCCAGCACTTTGGGAGGCCAAGGTAGGAGGATCACTTGAGGTCAGGAGTTTGAGACCAGCCTGGCCAACATGGTGAAACTCCATCTCTACGAAAAAATACAAAAATCAGCCAGGCATGGTGGCACACACCTGTAATTCCAGCTACTCCAGAGGCTGAGGCAGGAGAACTGCTGGAACCCAGGAGGCGGAGGTTGCAGTGAGCAGAGATCGTGCCACTCCATCCTCAGTCTCAACAAATAATAATAATAAAAAAGATGATTTTCTCCACACTTCAGGGTTATTGTCCCTCTCCTGTTTGGGTGGTCCCTTTTCTGTGTCTCTCACTACTCCAACAGTCCAGCATCGTCTCTCCTCCCTCAGTCAGGAATGATCTATTCCCCAATTATACTTACATTCTCCCACCCCAGCCCAGCCTCTTCCTTCTCTATCCACTCCCCACCATTTCCACCTCCTGCCTGTTAGATTCTTCCCTTCTTACTATTTTTCTGTTCCTTCCCATGTCTTTCCTTACCCCTCTTCTGCCTAAGAAAGTCTATGAACTCTTACACCTCCCCCATTTTCCTTCTCTTTAGAACAGTCTCATTTTCATAATCCTGTGACAATAATGATTGCTATCGCACCATTTATTTCTCTTCTTTCCATCTCATGATGGTATTTCCCTCTCACCTGCTCTCCACTGATTTCTTCCCATGCTTCCCCATCCTGAGAACCGTGATGAACCCCCCTCTGTGTGTTAGTATCTTCCACCCTGAAGGTACACCCCACCTCCCCGCCACATCCCAGGTCCTGGCCTCTTACTCGAAGTAGCCTTCCCCACCAGGATCATGCATGAGTTCTGGTCTCTCCTGCAGGTCTTCATTTTGCCATGGCAGCTGCTCCCGGTTGCCTTACAGACTTCACAGCGTAATGGGTACCCTGCAGTGTAGACAGAGGGCAAGGCTGTAGTCATGGGTGTTGTGGTCTTTGGACCATGACTTTAACTTTGGACTTTTGTGTCCTGAGAATGGAGGGATCAGCGGCTCCCTGATCTTTCTTGGGCGGGGTGTTGACCGCTGCCCAAGGAACTGTCCAGAGTCTGACGAGGAAGCGGTGGTGATGCTGGCAAAGCTACTTCCAGGGGCGGGAAGCACCTCCACCATGAAGTCTGTCTGCCTAAGCTGGGGATTTTGGATGCCAGGGTCCTCCGAGAAAGCTCAGGGGCAGGAGGGGTCATGGCAGAGGTTTCCATGGACTTTTGTGAAACTTCATGTCCAGCTGATTCTTGAATGTGGGATTCTCCTCCTTGAAGGTACCACGTAGGTCTTGTAGACAGTGGGAGCTCAGGCAGGGGGCCCTGAGGTGGGGTCTGCATCCTAGGTCAAGGAGGGAGAGTGAGGACCAGGAGGACAGAGGACATGAACTCCTTGGTCCTGAGACAGGGGACAACTAGGGGCCCAGATACCTGGGTCTTGGGGAAAGTGAGGCTTATCTGGACTCCCGTGTGGAGGGGAGAAGAGGGCTGGGGCCTGAACTCCTTAGTCTAAGGAGAAATAAAATCTCTCTCCTTCTGTTTAAAAAATTCTATTCTTTCTGATCTAGTCTAGTGCCAAAAAAAGAAAAAAGAAAGAAAAGAAATTCTATTCCATTCTATTCTATTCTACTCACCTTTTTTTTTTTTTTTTTTTTTTTTTTTTGAGATGGAGTTTTGCTCTGTCGCCCAGGCTGGAGTAGGCAGTGGTGTGATCTCAGCTCACTGCAACCTTTGCCTCCCAGGTTCAAGTAATCCTCCCACCTCAGCCTCCCAAGTAGCTAGGATTACAGGCACCCGCCACCACCCTTGGCTAACTTTTTTTGTATTTTTAGTAAAGATGGAGTTTCATCATGTTGGCCAGGCTGGTCTCAAACTCCTGACCTCAAGTGATCCGCCCGCCTCAGCCTCTTAAAGTGCTGGGGTTACAAGCATGAATCACCACACCTGACCTTCTCCCTCTTTTTAAAAAATTATATTTTAATGATTTCCCTTTCCAGCCATGCTCTCATCTGATTTCCTAGAATTGAGAGTCTTATCTGGGACTCTTCCTGGAGGGTGGAGGATTCAGAGCCCACCAAGCCCCTCTCTCAGGGATCTAATCATAGGAGCCTTTCTTCTCTGGCACCCCCAGGCTTTCTCTTCCTTTACCCTTGGCCTCTTCCATGAATCTGAATTTCCAAAATTCCTCCCTGTTCACCTAGAGGACTTGCTAAAGGCTCTCTCGTAGTCTTTTCTTTCCTGAGGTCCCAGAAAGAGTCTAGGTCCCTTGTCACTTACCAAGACCCAGGAGGGTGCAGAGCAGCACGAAGGCCAGCAGAAAGGTTCCTGGTCTCCTGGAGGGCCTCATGGTGTGTGTACCAGCAGTACTCAGTCCCTAGCTTTTATAGGAAGCTGAGGAGGGGCGGGTCCAGACCCACATTCACCCTGCGGGGAGAAATAGCTGAGGTCAGAACCCAGGGCAGTCCTCTGTGGCCTCCGGATTGGGAAGGCAGAAACAAAATCCAAAAGTGACCTGGGCATCTTGTGCCCAGCCCCCACCTCCATGGAGACCCCACAATTCTGGGTTTCCAGCCCCCTCTTCCATTAGAACCCAGAATGTCACTTCCCTGTTTTCCACCTTCCCACCGCCCATTTTTGTTTGTTTGCTTGCTTGAAGACCAAGACTGTGTTGGGCCACTTGATTCCCAGCGGCTGCAAGAACTGGGATTCCCTCTCCTCTCTCTTCCCCTCTCCTCCCAAGGAAGCACCCAGTGTGGGTGGGGCCCTACCTTGGGGCATGCAGCATGTCCAGGCTGGTTCTTTGGGTGCCAGGTGCTTTGTCTCCCTTCCCTTCTCTTCATGTGCTTGGCTCACACTCCCTGTATGTTTGGGCTGCCTCCAGCTGCAACCTCACCCAAGGCTGCATCCTTGGGTCTCCAAGGGACCGAACGAACAGAGGGATGCCTGTCAGCAGCCATAGCGGGCATAGTAAAAGACAAATGCTTACAGGCCACATATTGGGAAACTGAGGCTTTTGTGGAAGCATTCTAGGATGGGGTGTGCCCATGTGTGTGTGTGTGGGGGGGGGGTTTGGGCATATGCTTTGTGTTTTATTTAGGACTCTGAATCCTTCTCTTTTGGCCTCAGGCATGAGGCTGAGAGAGATCTGAGAATGTTTTCTTTTTCTTTTCTTTTCTTTTTTTTTTTTTTTTTGAGATGGAGTTTCGCTCTTGTTGCCCAGGCTGGAGTGCAATGGCGCGATCTCGGCTCACCGCAACCTCCGCCTCCTGGGTTCAGGCAATTCTCCTGCCTCAGCCTCCTGAGTAGCTGGGATTACAGGCACTCGCCACCATGCCCAGCTAATCTTTTGTATTTTTAGTAGAGACGGGGTTTCACCAAGTTGACCAGGATGGTCTCGATCTCTTGACCTCGTGATCCAACCGCCTCGGCCTCCCAAAGTGCTGGGATTACAGGCGTGAGCCACCGCGCCCGGCTCTGAAATGTTTTCGTGTGTGTGTGTGTGTGGCAGGGGGACAGAGAGAAGAGTGCAGCCGCCTGAGCTGTTGGAGAAGATCCTGTTGCGTAGGATCCAGGTTCCCTACGAAACTATGAAAATTCACTCAGATTTGCTGTCCTAGCCCAGCGCGGTGGCTCACGCCTGTAGTTCCAGCACTTGGGGAGGCCAAGGCAGGCGGATCGCTTGAGCTCAGGAGTTCGAGACCAGTCTGGGCATCATGGCAAGACCCGCCGCCCCCTCAACCCTCCCCCGTCTTCACAAAAAATACAAAAATTAGCCGGATGTGATGGTGCATGCCTGTAATCCCAGTTTAGGAGGCTGAAGTGGGAGGATCTCTAGAGCCCAGGAGACAGAGGTTGCAGGGACCCGAGATCCTGCCACTGCACTCCATCCTGGGTGAGAGATCAAGACCCTGTCTCAACAAAAAATTTTAAAAAATAATAAGTAATAATAATAATACAGCAAAAAGATTTGCTTTCTGGGCTCCAGTATGGGCGGTGACTGCATCGTCCAATGAGAATCGCGAATTTCTTCTAGACACCAATCCCAGAGGTCGCTTCTGTTGCTAGGCGCCCGGAAAGGAGGGTGTGGACGTCATCGGGAGGCGGGGCTAGAGCGGGGGTGTGTGGCAGAGGAAGGCGGGGCTCCAGGAAACGCTCGTTGCTAAGGAACGCAGTGCACTTCCCGCTCCGGAGAGGCGCGACTGAGCTTGCGCAGTGTCGACGCCAGCGCCGGCGCGCCGGGGTTTGAAAGGCCCGAGTCTCGCGCGCTTGCGCACTTCAGCCCGCGCAGGGTGCACCCCACCGCCTCCCGCCTTCCTCGCCCCTCGGACCCCAGATCGTACCTCATCCCTGTGGCCAAGTGAAGCCCACGAAATTGACATGCCGGAGATCCGCCTCCGCCATGTCGTGTCCTGCAGCAGCCAGGACTCGGTGAGGGACCTGCGTGGGGGCAGGTTGGGAGACGTGAGGGAATTAATGAGGATAGCTCCTTAAAGAATTTTTGGGGTCCTTCTTGGAAGTCTAAGGAGAGTCAGTGGGGGGATTTCCAAGAGGCTAAAAGTGAGTTGTGGAGAGATGTTGAATCAGGGACATTCTGGCCTCTAGGGAACTTCCGGAGAGAAAAGGAGGAACAGGGAAGCTTTCTTGGAGAGCCCGTAGGTGAACTTCCACGGAAATTGTTATAGGGGAAACTCCAGGCAGAGTGTGGCGGATTAACCGGGGAGCTTAAATCCGGAGGCCTTGGGAGGACTCAAAGGAATCATCTGAGAGCTGGAGGCCTAGCTGTCATCTTTGTGCCTTAATTCTCCTCTCCCATTCTTGTTTCCAGACCCACTGTGCAGAAAATCTTCTCAAGGCAGACACTTACCGAAAATGGCGGGCAGCCAAGGCAGGCGAGAAGACCATCTCTGTGGTCCTACAGGTGATCCTGCCACCCCACCTCCTCCTCACTAGGAATCTGGAGTCCGGGGGGGCGGGGTCCGGATTCTGCTCCTGAGCCAACTGGCAATGGGTTGAGTCACTTTCTTTGCTGGGCCTCAGCCTCCTTACCTGGAAAATGGGCAGCATAATCCCTGTGCCCCTCAGCAGAGAGGGAAGGAGACCCAAGGATTAGGTCCAGGATGATCACAGGAATCAGTGTGTGGTCTGGGCAGGTGGCTTCTACTTTCTGGGTCCCAGTTTCCTTAGCTGAAACAAAATGAATTATTGCAACGTACCCTGCTTCCTGTAGCCAGTGGGCTCAGGACTGGAAGGTGTCCAGGAAGGTCGTCTAAGCCAATCAACTCCACTTCAAAGAAGGGGAAACTAGCTAGGTATGGTGGCTCATGCCTGTAATCCCAGCACTTCCGGAGGCTGAGGTGAGAGGATTACTTGAGCTCAGGAGTTCCAGACCAGCCTGGGCAACATATCACGACCCTGTCTCTACTTTTATTAAAATAAATAATTGTTTTTTTAAAGAATAATAGGCCAACTGTGGTGGTTCACACCTGTAATCCCAGCACTTCGGGAGGCCGAAGCTGGAGGATCTCATGAGCCCAGGAGTTTGAGACCAGCATGAGCAATATACTGAGATGTCGTCTCTACAAAAATTTTATAAATGAGCCAAGCATGAGGATGTACACCTGTAATCCAAACTACTGGGGAGTCTGAGGTGAGAGGATTGCTTGAGCCCAAGAGATGGAGGCTACAGTGAGCTGAGATTGCACAACTGCACTCCAGCCTGGGCAATGGAGGGAGATAATAAATAAAAATAAAAATATAAAATAAAAAAATAATAATAATGAGAGCGAACATTATTCAGCGTTACCTGCCAGTCACTGCTCTACACACCTCACTTCTGGATTAGCTCACTGAGTCCATATAAAAAGCCCCATGAGACAGGGTCGGTTATTATCCCCAGTTTAACAGATGAGGAAACCGAGGCCCAAATAAGTTATACAACTTGTCTGACAGTCAATCTTTTATTTGTTTATTGAGACAGAGTCTCACACTGTTGCACAGCTATAGTGCAGTGGCACAATCTTGGCTTGGCTCACCGTAACCTCCACCTCCTGGGCTCAACCGATTCTCTTGCCTCAGCCTCTTGAGCAGCTGGGACTGCAGGTGTATACCCATGCCTCGCTAGTCCTTTTATATTTTTTTTAGAGATGGTGTTTCCACCATGTTTCCAGGCTGGTCTCAAACTCCTGGGCTCAAGCGATCCTCCTGTTTCAGCCTCCCAAGTGCTGGGATGATGTATTTGCCATCGTTCCTGGCTCAGTGGGTGCTTTATGACTATGAGGAGCAGAACACTCTGTGGATAGTGCTAGCATGAAGGAGGATAAATTAACCTTTGTGAATGGGCAGTCATTCAGCATATATCCACTCCTCTCCCTCCCACTGGAGGGGGGGTATATATTTCCCTGCTCCATTGATGGGTTTGACCATATTATTTACTTAATGGAATCTGAGCACACCTAACTTCAGCAAGGGCCTTAAATGCACTTGGCTTTTGTACTCCCATGATCTGCCATGAAAACATTTGCCAGGTTGTTGCTGATCCCAGAAAACTGTGGAATTCCATGGAAGAGACCTGAATCCTCCCAAACTGCAGCCAAAGCGGCCATCCCACAAACCCTTAGAAGGATGCTTGTTGGTATAAGTTTCAGTTTTCATGTTGGGAGGCCAAGGTGGGTGGATCACTTGAACCCAGGAGTTTGAGACCAGCCTGGGTAACATGGGGAAACCCTGTCTCTACAAAAAAATACAAAAAATAGCTGGGTGTGGTGGCACATGCCTGTAGTCCCAGCTACTAGGGAGGCTGAGTGGGGAGGATCGATTGAGCCCATGACGTTGATGCTGCATAGAGCTGTGGTGGTTTCACTTCACTCCAGCTTGGGAGACAGAGTAAGACTGTCTCAAAAACAAAAACTAAAAACCCCAAAAAGGAAACAAACGAACAAAAAAGGTCTCAGTTTTAGGATAATGTTCTACATGGCATTATTACAGTATGAGTTAATACAGCTTCGTTATTTTAAACCACTGAGATCAGGGACTTCTTCGTTACTGTAACATCTTCTAATCTGTCCCAGTTGATGTCAGTGTTTAACACCTGTCAACTATGGCCTCCACTTCCCAGGTTCAAGTGATTCTCCTGCCTCAGCCTTCTGAGTAGCTGGAATTTACGGGCATGTGCCACCATGCCCGGCTAATTTTTGTATTTTTAGTAGAGACCAGGTTTCGTCATGTTGGCCAGGCTGGTCTCAAACTCCTGACCTCAAGTAGATCTACCCTCCTTGGCCTCCCGGAATGTTGGGATTATACAGGCATGAGCTGCTGCACCCAACCTGTCTTTTAAGCTGTGATAGATACAGGTTGCTGACAGTTTTAGTCTTGGGACCCAGATTCAAGCCTCAAGCTCTCCCTCTTAACCTCAAGCAAATTGTTTCATTTCTCTAGACCTGTTTTCTCATGTGTCCATTGGGAATAATGACATCTAATCCTGGAGTTGTGAAAATGTGGTGACATAATGTCTGCACAAGTGCTCTGTCAACATGTAGGTGTTTGTGTAGAGGGAGGGATTCGTGTTTTTATTACTTACTGGGTGATGATTCTGCTGGGCTGTCTTAGGATCAGGTGACTCCAGGGAAATTACATTTCATTCTGTTACCCCAGTTGCTATGGGAACAGAGTGACTGGAGGCAGAAGAGACAGAACCTGGCAGGTGATGGAGCCAAAGGGGTGAGAAACAGAATTCCCTGGCCTAGGAGAGATCAAGAGAGTATTGCAGCTGTCACCAACATGGTAGACCCCAGACGGGGCAGCTTGGGAAGGTGATGTGTTTCAGTTGGGATGTCTAGGTTTTGTGTGACTTTGGGACATTAAAGGGGTGGCATCCAGGAGGCAGTTAGCAATCAGATGTGGAGCTGGAGACAGAATGTGTGGAAGTTGTCTGTGCAGGGAAAGAACCTATAGACTCGGGAGTAGATGATGGATTTATTGGTTCATTCATTCATTTATTTAGTCAAGTATTTATTAAGTGCCTTCTGTAGGCCAAGCACTGTTTTAATACTGCAGTACACAGCAGAAGACAAAAAATACTCAGTCTCAGTGGAGCGCAGTAGCTCACGCCTATAATCCCAGCACTTTGGGAGGTCAAGGTGAAAGATCATTGAGCCTGGTAGTTCGAGACCAGCCTAGGCAACACAGCGAAACCTCATCTCTACTAAAAATACAAAAATTTGCCAAATGTGGTGGCCCATGCCTGTCCCAGCTACTCCGGAGGCTGTGGCAGGAGGAGCACTTGAGCCTGGAAGATTGAGGCTATAGTGAGCTATGATTACAAAACTGCACTCCAGCCTGGGCAACAGAACAAGAAGCTGTCTCTCTCTTTTTTTTTTTTTTGAGATGGAGTCTTGCTCTGCTGCCCAGGCTGGAGTGAAGTGGCACGATCTCGGCTCACTGCAACCTCCACCTCCTGGGTTCAAGCAATTATCCTGCCTCAGCCTCCCAAGTAGCTGGGACTATAGGTTCGTGCCACCATGCCTGGCTGATTTTTTTCTTTTTCTTTTTGTATTTTTAGTAGAAACGGGGTTTCACTGTGTTAGCCAGGATAGTCTTGATGTCTTGACCTCATGATCTGCCACCTCGGCCTCCCAAAGTGCTGGGATTATAGGCGTGAGCCACTGCACCTGGCCAACGCTCTCTTAAAAAAGAACAAAAAAAGAAATCCAGTCTTGTGGAGCTTTCGTGTTAATAGGGAAAGACTGATAAATTAGTCAGTAAAACGTGTCAGGTGGTGAGTGCTATGGAGGAACTTAATGAAGGGGAATGAGAGTGTCCCAGCTGGAGCTGGAGCAGTGGCAAGGATTTTTATTTAAATAGTAGGGTTGGGGAAGGCCTCCCTGAAAAGGTGACATTTGAGCAACATGAGCTATGTATGTATCTAGGGAAAAGACTCTGAAGCTGGCTTGTGACAGCAAGGAGACCATTGTGGCTGGGGTGGAGCCAGCCAGGAGGACAGAGGTGGGAGATGAGGTGAAAGGGTGGGAATGGCAGCCCCTAAAAAAACACTTAAGGCCTGGGAAGCCATTGAAGGGACTTGAGCTTTTACTCCAGGGGAGACGGGAGCCACCGGAGGGCTCCGAGCAGAGGAGGGACAGGATCCTGCTGGCTCCATGTTGACAATACACTGCAGGGGCCGCACACAGAAGTGGAAGGCCAGCATTGCAGCTTGTTTTGTTAACTTATTCCACGTCAGAGACCCTTTGGAACGTCTGATTGCATCTGGCCATGACTAATATGCGGGGTTACTCTGAATTCACCAAATGCTAATTTTGGTTCTTTTGACGTAACTGATAAGGCAGAAATTTCTGGCCACCAAGCCAGCAGGCTTATCTTTGGGTTATATCATTTTGTTTTGAGCAGGGTCTTACTCTTGCCCAGGCTGGAGTGCAGTTGCAAAGTCATGGCTCACTGCAGCCTCAACCTCCTGGGCTTAGGTAATCCTCTCACCTCACCCTCCAAAATAGCTGGGACTACAGGCATGTGCCACCAGACTCTGCTAATTTTTAATTTTTTTAATAGAGATGGGATCTCACTATGTTGCCCAGGCTGGTCTTGAACTCCTGGGCTCCAGCAGTCCACCCACCTTGAGCTCCCAAAGTGCTGGCATTAAAGACATGAACCACTGCACCTGGCCACATCTGTGGGTTCTTCTACTACCCTGCATTTTCTTCTCTAATCATTGTTACACAACAGCTGGATATTACCACATGGGGCTCAGCCATCGGCTCGTGACAGCCCACACACCTGATTGTTTGCAGTAGCCACAGAAGGCTCTTTTGCCAGCTCATCACCTGCTCCCAGTGGGAAATGCCAACCTCTGTGTTAAATACTCCTGGGCTGGAGGGAATGGCTTGGACCAGATCCAGATATAATTCCAGTGTGTCACTGGAGGTATGTCATTTTTAGAAGAAATGTTCAACAGCAGTAGGGCCTATGATCATTTTTGATTTTTATTGGTTTTCTAATCACTCAGTTTGCCACTGTGGTGTTTTAAGTGTGTTTTTACTGTTTTTTGATGTGTCACATACATAGAAGTGAAGGTGTAAGTAAGTGTACAGCTCAGTGACTATTCACAAACTGCAGCTGCCCTCTGCACTCCACACCCAGATGAAGCACAGAAGATGCCTAGCCCCAGAAGTTCCTTCAGCTTCCTTCCTGTCAGCGCCCCTGCAAGGGTGACCTGTCCTGATTATTAACAGCGTGGGTTCATTTTGCCTGATTTTGAATTGCATTTTATGCAATTCAAATGGATTAGTGTGGTATAAACTTTTTTGTGTGGCTTCCCTTGTTATGTTTGTTCATTTGTTCATTTCATCTATGTCATTGAGTGTAGCTGTAGATGGTTTATTGCCTTTTTTTTTCTGAGATGGAGTTTCACTTTTGTTGCCCAGGCTGGAGTGGAGTGTGCAATCTCAGCTCACTGCAACATCCACCTCCTAGGTTAAGGGGATTCTCCTGCCTCAGCCTCCCAAGTAGCTATGAACAGTTGCCCACCACCGCACCTGGCTATTTTTTTTATCTAGTAGAGACTGATTTACACCATGTTGGTCAGGCTGGTCTTGAACTCTTGACCTCAGGTGATCCACCTACCTTGGCCTCCCAAAGTGCCGGGATCACAGGCATGAGGCACTGTGCCCGGCTCCTGTTGTCATTTTTTTTTTTTTAGACAGAGTCTCTGTTACCCAGGCTGGAGTGCAATGGCATGATCTCAGCTCACTGCAGACTCGACCTACTGAGCTCAAGTGATCCTCCTGCCTCAGCCCCCTGAGTAGCTGGGGCTGCAGGCATGTGCCACTACCAGGCTAAATTTTGTATTTTTTTTTTTTTGCAGGGATGGGTCTCACTGTGTTGTCTAGGCTGCTCTTGAATTCTTGGGCTCAAGCAATCAGCTTCTTAAATCGTTGGGATTACAGACAAACCACTGTACCTGGCCCGTTATCTTTTCTGTATAGTATTCTGTTGTGTTGAGAAAACTATTGCAGTTTTATTGATTTATATTTGATTTTTTTTTTAAGAGATGAAGTCTCACTATTTTGCCAAGGCTGGTCTTTTTTTTGTTGTTTTTAAGTTGGAGTCTTGCTCTGTCTCCAGGCTGGAATGCAGTGGTGTGATCTTGGCCCACTACAACCTCCAACTCCTAGGTTGAAACGATTCTCCTGCCTCAGGCTTCCGAATAGCTGGGACTATAGGCATGCACCAGCTAATTTTTGTATTTTTAGTAGAGACAGGGTTTCGCCATGTTAGCCAGGATGGTTTCAATCTCCTGACCTCGTGATCCACCCATCTCGGCCTCCCAAAGTAATGGGATTACAGGCGTGAGCCACCGCACCCGGCTGGCTGGTCTTGAACTCTTGATCTCAAGTGATCCCCCAACTTGGCTTCATGAGTAGCTAGGCCTGTAGGTGCACACTACCATGCCCAACTAATTTTTTTTAAGCTTTTTAGGGACAGCTTCCTGAATAGCTGGGATTACATGGATTCAGAGCCAGTAGACTTGGGCATTTGTGGTTTTATTATCTTTGCTTTTCGAGTGCATATTATATGCATATAGTGTGAAATTCAAAAGGTAAAAAAGGGTATACACCAAAAAGAAAATCTCCCCTCACCCTTTCCATCCCTCCCTGCTTCCTCCCCAACTCCTGCTCCCTCATTCTTCTCTCCTGATGCAACTGCCATTAGCAGTTTTTTTGGTGGTCTTCCTGGGTCATTCTGTAGACATACAAGCATATACACCTACCCCCTTCATCCCTTTTTAAAAAATTCATAGTATATACACTGTTCTCTTGTGTTTTTTTTTTTCAAGTAACTGTATTTTGGAGATCCACACTGCATAAAGTTCTACCTTTATTCATTCATTCATTCATTCATTCAAGATGGAGTCTTGCTCTGTCACCAGGCTGGACAGTGGCACGATCTGGGCTCATTGCAACCTCCAACTCCCTGGTTGAAGTGATTCTCTGTCTCAGCCTCTTGAGTAGCTGGGATTACAGGCATGTGCCACCATGCCCAGCTAGTTTTTATATTTTTAGTATAGACGGGGTTTCACCATGTTGGCCAGCATGGTCTTGATTTCCTGACCTTGTGATCTGCCTGCCTCGGCCTCTCAAAGTGCTGGGATTACAGGCATGAGCCACCAAGCTCGGCCTCTTTACTTAGTTTTTAAAGACAGAATCTCGCTCTGTTGCCCAAGCTGGAGTATAGTCGTGCGATCTCCGCTCACTGCAACCTCCACCTCCTGGCTTCAAGTGATTCTCCTGCCTCAGCCTCCCTAGTAGCTGGGATTACAGGCACATGCCACCAGATTTGGCTAATTTTTGTGTTTTTAGTAGAGATGAGTTTTGCTATGTTAGCCAGACTGGTCTTGAACTCCTAACCTCAAGTGATCCTCCTGCCTCAGCCTCCCAGAGTGTTGGGATTACAGGCATGAGCTACTGTGCATGGCCTACCTTATTCTTTTAAGTGATGCATAAAATTTCATTTCATGGATATGGAACAATTTTTTAACAACATATCTCTCAGGAACTTTGCCCTCCTGTGCCTTGTTTCAGGAACAGTTCATATAATGAACTATGTCTCCCCGAGAAAGGTGCATGCCCATGAACCCAGGCCACAGATGATAGTTATCTTGTGCCCTTATTTCTCACAGCTGATACATACTGAGCACTCATCCCTTGTTTTGAGATAAAATTTACTGTTTTAGCCATTTAAAGTGCATATTTCAGCTAGGTGTGGTGTCTCACGCCTGTAATCTCAGCACTTTGGGAGG